AACACGTCAAAATGCGATATAAAGAAAGACCACCTTGGAATCTCAAAAAATTGAATGAAGACAAGTCAAAATGCTCCTTGGAAGAATCCAGGTTGCTGGTTAACATGGGTTGGACAAAAGAGGCGGAAATGCTTGAGGATATGGTCAAGGCAACGGAGGAAATAGTGGTAGCAGCTTGCGACGCATCCGTGCCTAGACGTATATGTCCGAGGAGGAAACAGCAAATGTATTGGTGGACAGAAATAGATGAACTTCGAAGGAACTATATCAAGGCAAGAAGAATAGCGACAACGACCAAGACGAATCTGCACTTCATGGAACAGTATGCAGAACTGTCCAAACGGCTTAAGATAATAAATAAAAAGAAGTAAAGCCAGATGCTGGAAAGAGCTCTTAGAACATGTAGATAACAACCCATTGGGCATGGCTTATAAAATAGTACATAAGAAATTCAGGATGGACTGGGAGATACCTTGTTTGAATGATCCACAATGGATGAGGAAAGCTATTAGGAACCTCTTTCCCACTAAAGATCCCTGGACGAGACAAAGACAGAGCGACTTCACTGTTGGCGAACTGAGGAGAGCGACGAAAAGCATGAAAACTGGGAAGGTCCCAGGTTTCGATGGAATTCCCTGATCTGAATACTATAAAATAGTGGCATCCGGAATGCCTTTTGTAAATCTATAACCACTGCCTTGAGGATGGGAAATTCTTCAAGACATAGAAGAGACAAAAGCTGATACTCCTCCGAAAGGGCAACAAGCCGGTAAATCGGACATCATACAGACCACTGTGCCTCCTTGATACCATGGGCAAGCTGCTTAAGGAGTTTATATGCTTTTCTCACAGGCAATATAGATTCCGGAGAGGCCGCTAGACGACGGATGTCATCCTGGAAGTAATCGATAAAGCAGACGCAGCCAGAAGAGGAATCGGCCAGAAGAAGGGATTCTGCGCGCTCGTGGCATTTGACATTAGAAACGCCTTCAACTCCGGTAGGTGGAAGGACATTATACAAGTGTTAGTTAACAAGAAGATTCCGGAATATCTCATAAGGATAATTGAAGACTATCACCATGAAAGGACGATAACTTACGTGAACAGTATCAGAATAGAAGAGAATGTGACGTGCGGAGTTCAAGGGTCCTGACTTGGGCCATTTTTATGGAATGTATGACATTCTAAGCATTGTATTCCGTCCACAACACAAAGCCCTCGCGCACAGGCGGGTGGTCGCTCCCTCCCTCCGGAGGCGGCCGCTCCCGCCGGGTGCGCCCGGCGCCCCCCACAGCTGTCCACCCGGACTGCCGGCCTTCCCTGCCCCCGGCGGCCACCAACACTTTCCCCGAAGGGGGCTGCAACCTCAAAATACGAGTAGCACCTACACGCCGGGTGCACCCGGCCTACCCGCACCGCCGGTGTCCACCCACGCTTTCCCCCACGGGAGCTACAGCCTCAAAATGGCACGCACACTTGTGCCCTGGTCACACTTGCGAGAACTACCGCGAGAGGTACGGGCAGACCCGACTCACGCACCGTCAGTCACCTGCTGGCCAGAGACTGTGTGTGCCGCACGCACACTCCTGCTGCCAGGGCCAGGACCTTGGTCAAGCTGCGGAACACTCTCCCCGTAACCAGCGAACTGTGTGGGACGCCTGCATTCCCGCTTCATCCGGGAGAGGAGCACCACTGAAGCCCACGCATGCCGCAGCCTCCTAGCAGCAGGCATTCGGCAACGCCGAGTGCCCATGGAAGTGTAGTGCGGGGCCAACCTTCAGGACGTCACCTTCACGGTGATGAGTAACGTACAATACAACCATTTTGTATCATTCATTTAATTTCATTTCTTTACAATTAATATATTTCATTTGTCATATGCCATCCCACCAACGCAGAATAGAAATTTAGTATTAATAAATAGTATGTGCAATGAAATTCTTGTAATTTTGTCATCCTCCCCCCCCCCCCAGGTACTTCACTCCCCGGTGCGACGTACAATTTACTTTGTATAGAGAAGGGCCTTTCAGCCAGCTCATGCACCCCCTCCTCCGTTCTAGGTATCCTTCTCCCTTCTCTGTACACATCGGCCTGCGCTCATAGGCTATGCTGATGATACGCCACAGCAATGACATTAAACTCCTCGAATTGAGAGAAAACAAAGCACTGTTTAAGGGTAAAAGATGGTTAGATAGGCGACAGCTACAGATGGCAGTGCAAAAATACCGAAGTTGTCGTAATCACTGACCGGAGGGCCTTTCACTATCCAGACCTCCGATTGGGAGGGAAGAGAATTAACTGGAAGCGCCAGATATTTAGGAGTCGAAACAGACTATACACTCAGCACATAAATGTGATGGCAGAAAAGGCGACGAAGACCGGAGCTAACATCGCAAGAATGCTACCGAACGTCGGTGGACCGAGAGAAGCCAAGAGAAGAATGAAATCTGGCATAGTTGTTGAATGTTGCTCCAGTCTGGGCGGGTTCGCTGGAGAGGGAATCTATCAGACACAAGTACGCCCAAGTACAAAGACGAATGGCATTGAGTGGCGTGTGCCTACCGCACAGTGTCTACTTGCGCATTGCTGGTGTTGGCCACTACACCGCCTATCGACTTAATAGCCACTGAAAGAAAGAGGACGTACCTCGCCTTGGTGGAAACACAAGCAGACAGTCATTTCCCTCCGAAGCAAATTGAGAGTATTAAAGCAGAAGCAAGGAAGCTGCTCCTTGAAGAATGTCAAGGAAAATGGGATGGGGATGTGAAAGGCAGATGGACTCATCGGTTGATTACTAACATCGAGAGATGGGTTAGCCGAAGATTTGGGGAGGTGTTATTACTTGCCCCAGGCTCTTACGGGACATAGAGGATTTAAGAAATACCTCTATGATTTCAAGATTGTAGAGGCCCACATGTAATCTCTGTCACGCTGACATAGATGATGCAGAACACACATTATTCCAGTGCAAGGCATGGGACGTGGAACGACAGGTTTGTAATGTCAACCTCCAACAAGATATAAACCCAGACAACATGGTCGACATGATGCTGAGTTCGCAGGAAAAATGGAAAATAAAGAACTTCTGAGTTAGTAGAAAGGGTTAAGACTGAGGAAGTAGAGCATCTGCCATCAGCCAATCTCCTATGTGAAGTAGTGTCTAACGACGGTTTCCGCGTGGGAGAGAATACGGTTGAAGATACGGAGGTTAGGTTTTTAGTCGGTAACCCAGTTGGGAGTCTAACATCACCATCTTCATTGGTACCCATAAGGGATTTTCCTCCATAAAAAAGTAAAAAGTACACACTATAATTTGCAAAATAATCAAAGATTTTTAATGATTTCTCAATTCAGAGGAACAGTGCAGAGGTGTTGCAAGGTCCATACCAGCACAAATAATGTGTCAAAACTTTTAACTTAGAAGTGAGTCAAAATGCTCTGAGATTCTTTACATATTAAGAGATCTTTAACTTAAACTTGACTAGAAGAGGTGCTACTACTCTGCAAGGGAATTTGACACCACTCTCTCCAGACAGTTTGGTAGACTGATTGATTTGGTTTGTAAGCTACGAAGAAACGTGACACAATCACTTAAACACCATATCCACATGGAAAGAAGCAAAATATCAATATAAAAAATTACTATAAAGAAAATATATCATGCAAGGTTTGTCTCAAAAGTAATGCTTCGCTTTTTTTTGATACGACTATAACTCACAAGGCAGTGAGACTGGTTTGGATAAAGTAAGGGGAGGCTTAGGTTTCCATCTGTACCAACCAGTACCTACCTCAGTTGTCTCTGTGCCATGGGGAAGTTAGAAGTATCAGTTTGTGAGCTCCTGTGTAGTGGTCGCGCCATACTTGTGAGGGAGAAATTTTTGAATCGAAAGTTATACAATTAAGTTCTGCGTGAAGCTGAATAAAGACGCCAGTGGAAACTTTCGAGATGTTTCGACGAGGATCTTCGACTACAACCCGGAGACAAAAGAGCAGAGCGCAGAGTGGCACAACTCGGTATCTCTGCGCCCCAAGGTTCACATGAGCAAATCGTGGGTATAGGTCATGCTCTTTGCAATTTTTGACACAATGGGAATCGTGCACAGTGAGTGTGTACCTCCTGGACAAACTGTAAACACACAGTTCTACAAGTCAGGGCTCAAGAGACTGAACGACACAATCACTGGCCTTCGGAAGATCAGCGCTCCATGGAAGCATTTCCACGACAGAGTGCCAGCCCACCCCCCCTTCGTAGTCAGGGACTACGTAACCCGCATCGGTGTGGCAACGTTTCCACAACTGCCCTATAGCCCCGACTTTGCTCCAGTGAACTTCTTTTCGTTCCCTCAACTGAAAATAGTCATGAAAGAAACGCATTTCAAGACTTTGGACCACATTATGCAAGAACTTAAAAGGACTTCCCGAGAGCGTACAAGACATGGAAATCGTGCTGACAAAAATGTATAGATGCACACCGGTCATACGTTGAAGAATATTAAGTTGCTGCATGTATTTGATTAAGAAATTTAATTTTTATAAATGTGACGCATTACTTTTGGGACATACCTTGTATGTGAAAAATACTGATTTGTCTTGTTTTTGGTGAATCTGCCACATAAAGTTTAATAGTATTCTACATATAGGGTTCATTCTCTATAGACCTTCAGGTACAGGAAATAATACCTTCTACTTTACAAGCTTTGTATGAGTTATTAAAATATACTTGAACTCTTTGTCAAAAAGTAATTGAAAATACTTCTTCATAATCATTATTATGATTACAGAATAAAAAAGCACCGCATCTGTAGAAGCATCTTCACCAAAAGATGTTTCCCAATTAGCTCAAACTTTCAAAGAAAAATTCAAAGCTTCAATGATCTATTCTCAAAATTACTTATCAAAATGTGTAAAATAAGATAAATGAAAGTAAATAATTTTAAGTCTTAATTTTCTTGTAATGCACAAGCAATCCACAGTCTAATCCCTTTTAAAAATTGACTCACCTGCATGGGTGTCATGTGAGGGTTGTGTATGCTGATCAATGGAGCATATGTTGCATTCAAAGGTACACGGACACCAACTAAAGGTCTTAATCTATAAGGACTACTAACACTTGCTCCTTTAACCTGAAAAATGTAATTGTAGTTTGCATTACTATTAAAGGAAATATAATATAAAATGACAAAAGGAAAGGAGAATACAAAAATAACCATTACAAGACAATTTAATAAATCATTAATACGAATGTGTGAAAATAAATCATACAAAAATTAGTAGTATCCACTACTATTACACATTCTGCCCTTATTCCACAGAGAGATTGCTTTGTAAATTCAGTTTTGCTTGAATCACTTTAAATGAATGTTGAATCAGATCAAAAACTTTCATGGAAAAAATATTTAAGTAGTAGTCAGCACATTACTAATAGTCATATAGAAGTATGAATGTGGTGATTCTACCCATTCAGCATTCGCAAGTAGTAAGAAACTGCTCGCCTAATCCCAAGCAGCTGATAGGTGTACTGAATGTACCCTTCCTTTGCGGTGATCAAAAAACAGTGGGTAGGGATCAGTAGGTAGGGTGAGTCATAAATGTTCGTTGCTCAGCAAATACTGAGCAATCCATCCACACTACTTGGGTTTCGGCGAACAGATGCTCGCTACTCGTCAAATACCAAATGTGTGGAGCAGCCTTAAGAAGTGGTTGCATTGTTGACAACTGCCAGAAAGGCAAAAATACATTTTTACAATATCCTTGTTTCTGAAATAAAACTTAAATTCACAACCTAAATTACCATTTCAAAAATCACTTTAAATTCAATTCCAGATATACCAATTTACATGATTTGCATTGTTTTAGTTAATTGTAGCACCAATAACTATTTTGTTAAATACTATCTGAAGGCCCTGTGTTGCTGGGGTATTTATCATAACAATTTTTTATTAAACAGAAAGAGGAAATCCACCCATTTCTGTCTTATGGCGGAACCTACTTCTATCTATTCTATCTTCCATCCGCCCTACCCCGCACGTCTCTACCTTCCTCCAATCTGGAAATACTCCTTCTTCCGTACTCACTAAAAAATATTTAAATCTTATTCCAATTAGGGTTGTCGTGCCCCAAACTTCTTTCACTTTATTAATGAAAATAATAAACAAACATACCAATAATTTTAATCAGTTGTCACATTATAAAACTTACAGTTTTTCATATTTTTTTCTTCTCAAGTATTTACAAAGAAAAGAATGAAATTTAACTTGCTATGTCATTCAACATTTAAAAATAATTAAAGTAATTTTAATTGAATTCGAGTACATGTTTTAGTACCCTTGATACCAAGATCATAATGGATTTCAGCTTGACAAAACTTTTTCAATTATCTAAAATAACATTGTAATAACAAAACCAATGTTGTCACACATTCAATTCCTCCAAATACCTATTAACCAATAATGTTTTACTTTCATCATACAGTTGTTTTTTTACAAATATAATTCTTAAAAAAAATTTCACCAATTTAATCATTCCTTCAACACCCAAATGTATGCTCTCACTTTCCACTACATTAAAACATTTCTCTACAAAAATACATCCACCCGTCAGTTACACCACAACACGTACATCATTCATAATATGTTTTCACTCTCACTGTCAGTCACACACCTTGCAAATGCATAATAATTATACTTAATTTCCTACAACTAAACATGTATGCATTCATACCTTTTAACAATATTCACATCCATCAGAAAATGATATCTTTCAAACATGTCTCTTGTACACTTAATGCATGCACCTACACACAATTAAAATCAATATCCACATTACTTTTATAAATAAAGCTGAGAAAAACTCAGAATTCTTTCAGATTAAACAATTAACAGTGCAAATAAACTAATAGCGCAAATAAACTAACAGTCCTCTAAATACGCAATTCTGTGCATTAATGAAATCAGTAGGCGATCATAGACATCTTCTGTTAGCACGAGCTTAACTATTTACATTGATGTCTGTGATGTAAAGCTATGCAAAAAATGTCCAGAAAAGTAATTTTTTTGTAAATATATTAAGGTTTATAGTTATAAATCATAGCCTATAATTCTCCAGTTCTTTAAAGGAAGCTAACACAAAAGTTGCATCACGTTTGGTTCAATGGATTCAGAGATTATCATGCTGTAAGTCAACACAATTCTGTCTTTATATATTAGTATTTTGTCACTAGGGAACATAATTTATTATAATAAAAAAAGCAAAATACATACATGAATCAGTATTTATTTTTTCCAAAATATGATAAGTAAAAATTCATTGAAGAATTTAAAATTCCCTCATAAAAGCATTTTCAAATTTTTGAAGACAAAACACCAATCAGGTTTTGAAATTGAACAGAGTGGCTAACAGGAAGTTCAACCTCTTCAGAAGTGATAGTCCACAAGTCTTCACTCAATATTACGAGTTGTATTCAAAATATAAAATACATATGTAGAACATACAAAGTTCTTTAAGAAGGACCAGCACACATGTGACCAGTCGCGCCGTGTATCCAGTGATGGTTTCCCAAGAGCAGTGATTAAAAAGAACATTCACCCCCTCTCTAAATAACATGACTTGTAAAAAATATTTGACAGATTTGGATCGAGGTAAACACATGGGAAACACTACTCCTACTTTGCAAACATCTGCACAGCCTTAATTCTGAGTGGTTTCCAAATGTGTTCCTGTATGTGTGGTAGTGGTGGGGAGGGCACACTTCACAGTGAAGGTGAAGTGGTCATCGATCATCATCGCTATATTACAATTCTTTGTAAGGAAATACTATTTTGAGGTATAAATGTATTGAACTATAATGGAAAATGTAAGAAATATGTGGTAATAGGTAAAATATGTGCAGCGGTGATGGTGTAATGGTTAGCATATCAGACTGATATATCCAAGTCCACAGGTTCAAACCTGATTGAAGCCATGCGGGATCCATGCCATTAAGGGCGACAAAATCCTTTGTACGCTTTCCTTCGGAGGGGAAGTAAAGCCAGCTGCCCCATGTTATTAGATTTATTTCATGTAAAAGATCCTCAAGCCTAAATGAAGCCTCTGAGCCAAATTCAAATTGCATTCTCTGCTACAGGTTGAGAGAAGTGTAGCGAAACTTGCATGGTCAGATGTGATGGGCCTGATGACCTGAGTCTCGCCTTGTAAAATAAAAATGGTTCTAATTCATTTAGAAAGTCTTGTAAATTCTATAAAATATTATTGAAAGTAAAAATCTTGTTCCTGTAAAAATGTGCATTTATATAAATATCTGACACCTATTCTTAAGAGATCAGTGATAAGTTACTTCATCTCTAAAGTACAGACTAGTGTTCCAGTAATCCAGGAGGAATCTAAGATCTAAATCAGCACTAATCACATGTAATAGAATATTGCAATCACATTACATAAAAGCAATTCTTTTATCAAATCTACCAAGAAATATAATCAAATCGAATCAAATCAAACCATTAAAAAGTTCCAATTATGAGACCAAAGCTGAAACCGCTTTTCCTTTAAATACATTGTTGGACTTGTCACCAAATGAATTTCAATTTTTAAATGATTTTGTAACTTCATTCAACTTCTTACGCTAGTTTATTAATTCGAGAAGCAGTTGATTGCATAAACAAAAAAGTGTGCGAGATTTTTATTTTTAAAAGTATCACATGCTCATTTAAAATGAAGGAATAAATAAATACAATGTAACATGTTTTAACAGAGATTTAGGAAAACAGACTGTTTATGGACCAAAATTTGTACTGAAACACATTGTTATCAAAAACTAAAACTAAACATAACCTTTTTTTTCTTGAAACACTTTGATATCTTGAAAACATGTGACATGTGAAAGCTGTTGTTCATAATCAAATTGTGAAAAACATTCAAAATTTAGAAGAATCTCATAAGTTTTAAACATATAAATTAACTTTCGCATATCCAACACCATTATGTATTTTCTTTGTGGCATGATATAATGTGGCCAACACTGTCATCTCTCAGGATGTTGTGTAAATATAGTTTTTGCTTCTGCACCCAAATTTAGAATTTCATGTTAACATATGGTTTTTAGGTTCAGGTCCAGTTTGTCTTTTTTTAGAAGGGAATACCTCACTTCTATCAAAATTTAGTTATCAAATTGAACACCGTATTGCCCACACCAACACTTTCCAGACTTTTCTAATTGCATTATCAATTCAATTTCAAAACAGTGGCCAGAACCATCTTTTCCCTTAGAATCCTAAAATTGGCAAGATAATTCTGTTGGCAATGGCATAAAAATTATAATGAATTTCAGTAAAATATATTTATTATTGAATGTTAAAATATAAAATCAAAAGAAGCTGAAATATACCTTACCAGCTAAATTAAAAAAAACTATTAATTTAACCAGAGCACATGTCACCTCCATGACCATGTAGATGGTACAATTCATAATTCAAAATAATTAAGAAACGTGAATGATATAGCAGGTAAAGAACGTTAAAATGTTTAGATCATCAACCAAACACACTACATTTGAAAATTTAACCTCTTCCCAGAACCTCTTCACAGGTTTTCAAAAAACAGAAATGAATATCAATGTGTTGCATTTAAATGTTAATACTAAATGCATTTCATTCGATTGAGCAGACCAGCAAGGTGCAGCATTAGCATGACGTTTGTGGCCATTATGTTGGCAAAACATTTAGAATGAATTTTGCTTATTTGAAAATCTTTTGATTTAAGTTACATGTTAACTTAAAATTGGCGATGTTTTTGATACAGAAAACAGAAGAATTTTCAGAAACTAAATATGTGTATTTTGTTACGTGTGTGTGTTTTTGTTTCTTTTTCATTTAATTTAATGCAGAGAGTTTAATAAGAGATGGCTGAAGAATTAGTAGAATACACATTGCAATGTTATTATATTAAGTCACTAATACAAATAATATGAGAAAGTTTGAGCTGTTGTAGCACCAAGTTTCATTTTGTTATGTTCCTCTGTACAAGAATTTCAGTACTTTTATTTAAACACACACTTTGTTATTGTTGTTGTTGTTGTTGTTGTTGTTGTTGTTATTATTATTATTATTATTATTATTATTATTATTATTATTATTATTATTATTATTATTTTCTTTTCCCTACTTTATTTCTGGTCTCATTCCAACATTTACCTTTGGGTCATCTTTTCTTAACCACTGAAATTCTTTCCAGTAGACACTTTTTTAAACTAACTAGGCTAACTATACTTTGGGCTTTAACAGTAAATTAAATACGGCTTTGTGTTTCAGTCACTCCTAATGTCAAAATTCAAAATATTAACTCTGCATGTTTCTAATATGTTGTGCAAACTTTAGTATTACTCTTATATTTGTGAAAGACCTAATCAACATTTTTACAAAAATTAAAAAGTTAATAAATGAAAAAGAGGCAAAGAAAAATTGAATTCCTAAATTTCTGGCAAATAGTTTAATCCTGACTTAAATTATGAAAAGGAAAATATAAATTAACAGAGAGTCACTTTTATAGAAAAGATACTTACATGATACTTAAAGCTTCCTTCCGAAGTATGAATAAATAAATTACTTTCAATTTCACCTTCTTCTCGTCCAAGGAAAACAACATTAAAAGAAGTATTTCCAAGAGGTGGTATAATCTATAAGAGAAGTAAAAATTTGAAATAATATATTATAATTTTATTGATACTCTACAATAAAGGATTAACTTCAAAAGAAACATTTTAACTTAGCATACCTTATCTTCAAAGAAAGAACTATGGAAATGTACTGTATTCCCTGATATGGATGACATGTGAATTGTTTTGTTGTTATTCACATTAAAAAGAGTGACTTTTTCATGATGTGGCATTCCTAAATGTCTGAAAGAAAAAACAAAAAACTATTTAATGACGTTAACTTACTAATAACGGGTACAATCACAATCACTAGATCCATATTACACATTACAGACTTTCACCTTCGTTCGAGTCGTTCATAAATTACGAAACGCAAATTTGGAGAATTTTGAATATCCCCATAAAGTCCAATTGACCCCGACCCCACATACTAATTTCATAACGCTTGCCACAACCCCCCGCCCCCTATTTAAATGCAAGAAGAGAAAATAAATTATAGTTTAATAAAAAAATGTATTCATTCATTCAGTAACAACTTCTAATAACTTCAAATAATTTTGTTTTCAAAGAAATTAATTAGATAATAATTTCATGTTTTAGAATAACAAAAAAGGAAATATTTCAACAAATGTTAAAAAATGTAAAATAAAAAAAAAATTAATGTTACATAACACTAATGAAATATGCCCCTAATCCTACGTAACGCAGCGTAACACTGCCTCAAACCCCCACCCCACACTTTGGGCGTTACGTAATTTATGGATGACCCCCTAAAGACAGAAAATTTCCTTAACAATAGATGTTTATACTGAATAATTGGAATGATTATTTAGAATACAAATACATTTTTTGAAAAACAAATATTTATTAAAAATGAATGAATGAAAAATGAAAGAATATGTTTATAATTTAATTCACAATTTGTACAATGGGAAAACATTAAATTATGCATTCAAATTGGCAAAGAATTTGAGGATCTGCATAACAATTTTTAATTGAACATGATGAAAACTTTGACCAACTATTTAACTGGTGGTTAAGTACAAAATTGAAAATACAATACTATCAACCCTACCAAAATGATCTTGTCAAAATAATCAAGTCTTGAGCAATTGTTATTTGAAAGCACAATTTGGAATATATTTTTAAAGCTTACTTTAGCTTCATATTCACTTCACATTATAAAACTTACAATTTTCAGAACTTTTAAAATAAGATTATTTTATTAATTTTGTATATAACAGTTTACATATTTTTTAAATAATTAGAGTTAAGTTTTACCCTTTTTGTTTTATTATTTTATGATAAAAGCAACAATGTGCGAGTGATGAATGAATTGTGTGTTTTGAGTTGTGTATCTGAGAAATGCAATACCAAATATAATATTTACTTACCTCTCTTTGAAGTCTAATAATGGTGGATCAAACTTTAAATGTTGTTTAGAATTGTAAATAGGGTTTTCATCCAAAACAGGAACTCTAAAAAAATAAATTAACTGTTATTAAATCTACAAGAACTTGAAAAAGTAATTACCTCAGAAAACAATAATTATAGTGAATACAGTAGATTAGGAAACAAATCACCAAGTTGAGCAACCGAAAAGTTAATGTAGATGCTTTTTTCCTTCGGAAATGACCCCATGAATTTTATATCAAAAAATATAAAATCAAAACTCACCTAACACTTGATGCTCCCACAAGTTCCTGCAAATGTCAATTTCCCAATTATTATATTGCAATGAATATAAAATTTCTTCTAAAATATCTACAGTATAATGTCAATGTTAACTTTATTCATGAATATCTTATTATAATAGCAAGAGTGGAAGTAAATGAGACCTGGGTTGATCAAAAGAATCATACAATGCGATTGAAAATAAATATTGCACTTATAAGTCTAACAATACAGACGCATCAATGTAACTCGAATGAAGTCCTAAATATTATAATTCAAGAAAATTTAAAAAGCAACTGTTCTGTTACATATTTAACACAATTAACCTAATACATTTTTAATAAAACTTCTGAAAACTTTTGATGATGTTTGACATCTGTGATATTTGACAATTAAAGTGAAAACAATTCTGTATTTATTATTTTCAAACCTTACTATAATTTAAAATATTAACAATGGATTTCTGGACAACTTTCATTTGAAAAATTAGAGTAATAAAAATAATGTATACCTTGTGAACTGGAACAGGAATACCATCAACAAGATATCTAACATCACTATTGGCGTGAATAAAGGCTGCAAAGTAAAATTATTAAAAAAAATTAAAACCTCGTCCAAGATAATTCTTCAACTTTATTACACTTCATGTTGTGAGGAAATACCACTGCAATAGCGCGCCCGAAATACGGCGTTATCGTGACAGTATTTCAGACGTAACCAATGAACAATTAAACTTCTTTCTCACACTTACCATGGCTATTCCCTTGCACTGCCATTTTCGTATGGGGCAACACTTCAAATAAAGTTAAGAAAAACAGAAAAATCCAAAATGCGTGATCAGCCATCCTAACTACCATATTTTGCTTTCTGTCCTATAAGCCAAATTGCGGCCATAACACTCTCGACTGTTTACGAAAACATCGACTTCTCGACTGTTTACGAAAACAGACTTCGGGCGGCAAATCGATACGGAACCAACAATCGATTTTAAAATTTGGCCTATATCAAGATACGCATGCTTTTCGATTACGCTTTGAAAATTTATTGGAAAAGGTCCTATTCAATAGTGTTCCCTAACAATGCATGTCCCTTCAAAATTTTTGAAGGGCAAAATGAACTGGGATTTAAAAGGGTATTACGCATTGTATATTATTCTACATGGCATGTATTTTGCCAACACCTCTAGCCCATATTTTTCTCGAGACTTAAAATTTTATCATCCCAACCCAAAAAATTAAAATTGAAAAAAATTTGGTCTAAGAACTTGTTTCCAACTGCTTGCAAAAAACAGCCAGGGCTAGAAATGGGTATGGTAAACAGTAACTTTACCATTCACTTGAGGTCCACTTACTATTTCAGAAAAAGCCATCTGATGCAACTATTCTTCAAAGAATTTCAAGTAAAGGTACAGTATCAAGGACAGGGAATAAAAACCATTTCATTAAAAGCAATACATTGAGCAATTTTTTTCTTCAACATAGTTCATAGTTAAATTTATTGTAATACTGTAACTTTCCATTTCAATAGCATCAAGATACGCACCTCCATAATTCTTTCAGAGCAATACATGTAACAATTTCAACATATACGCACAGCAATAAATAATTTTGTATTCATCAAATAATCCATTGACACTAGGTGCTCAAATGCAGGCTCTGGCGAGTTGAACTTTCACATCTCCAAACTTCTTTTGCCCGGCATGCAGGTCATTGAAATGAAACACCTATAATACAAATGCATCTCTTTATTAACAGTACCCAAAATTTTCAAGAAGCAAGTATACTTTCTTTGTTCACAACAAAACATGTAAAGGGACAAAATAACATCAATTGAAACAAACAACGAATTGGTCTGATTTAAACAAAACCACTACTGTGGATAAAATTGCTTTGAAATTTAAAACTTCACTGCATTGAATTGCCATGCTAAATTACATTATTTTATACAAATTACGTCTGTAAACGATATATCAGCAGGCCAAAAGAGTGAGTTTATAAAGTCCGGCCAGTTATTGCTGCTTACAATCAGCAGGGTTGGCAGCGTTGGCATTTTTATTCTGATTACGTGCACTGAAATTTTTGGGAGTGTAGTCAGGATCATAATCTTCTTCATCTTCTTCCTCTTCATCTTCCTCACCTTCTTCTTCTTCCTCATAATCTTCATCTTCCAAGGCTTCACCTGAAAAGAATCAACACTTAGAGCCATGTTCTCCAGCTAGCATACCCAAGAGTACGCAATATTAAAATTTGGTTGATAATATGCTTTCTTACCTGTGAAGTAGAGTACAGCCCTTGGAACAATACGTTCTCGAATGTAGTGACCAATCTCAAAGTCGCTGGTCAATAGAGCCTGTGTCTCTTCATCAACTTCAGCCTCTGGATCTTCAGGCACTAAAAAATTTAAAAAATGGAATATTTAATAATATTAATGAGAATTTTCATTAACACAAGTGAAATCTTACATTCTACAACTTACTACTAGGAGGTGTGAAGAAATTGAAAAACGAATCGTTCTGAACAGTTTTTGTAATAGTCCTAACTGATCCTCGAGACTTGTGTTTCTGCTTCTTCTTCACCAATTTTACAGTTACATTCATTCCTTTCTTCCAATCAATGGTGCAGCCCTATAGAAAAAAATTAGAATTTTAAATTAAAACAAGTTTTGCAATGCATACATCTTTGTTTCCTCCTCAGGTATAAAAACATAAAAGACTTTTCAGTATTTGAACATGCGACATTTTTCTGCCTGTCTTATCATAACGCACATACATGAAAGTTCTGACCATCATGAAGCTCTGCCAATGACTTGAGTATCCTGAAATGCCTATAATTCAGTCCTGTTTTGCTATGGGCAAATTTATCAAATTATCCATTCAATAATTTTACTGCAATCATGGGAGCCATAAGTTAGAAAAAACATTTTAAATATAAGACATTTCCTGGCCAAATAAAAAGATTTTAAGGTGAACTAATCAATAAATATGAATCTTTTTTGTTTACATTGGTTTAATGTATAAATACGATAATGTTTTCACACATTTATTTGGTTTCTCAAGAAACCTTGAAGTTTTGTATATTATCAAGTTCCGAAAGTTTAAGAATCTGAATAAAAATAATGTACAAACTTTTCCATTATATTATTAGTCAATATTGAATATTAGTCAAAAAACAAATTGATTTAATCGCATACACAAGGTTGGCCAACAATGAAATATTTAATTAACTGATCCTTTTCTTTCTTTCTCGTTTAAAGAAATGCTGTATCATTACCCTAAAAGGAAGAATACTCCTTTTCAAATCTCTCAGCTCAGCATTTTGGAATCATTGTATTCTGTACAACTTAGTGACAAGTACTAAGCACTTTTCCCAATAATGTTTCATTGACTTGCAGGGATAGGGATCCAAAGGATTTAATTCAAACATTTTATTATTATTGAGATAGGGGCATTCTAAACAATGAAAAGAAGCCAATGGGCAAAATGAACTATAGATTTACAATGTTTTGTGGTAAAGGAATATGAATTAGGAATATCCGATTCTCTGATCCAACAGCAATCCAAGCAACAAAAATGCTTAGTCTTTGTGAAGACTTTCCTTGATAAAACAAGCTGTGATACTACTATTTAAACATCCAACATGTTGAGTAAAAATGAGGAGTATTGCAACATTCTAAATGAATGTGATTAAGGCAGCTCCACACATTCAACATTTCATCAAGTAGCACGAAACTTGTTACCCAACCCCAAGCACCAGATGTGATCAGCAAATGTTCACACCAAATGTTCTTGGCTGTGCAAGTAGCAAGCAGCCCATCAACATTACACAGGATTCATGCAACCACACTTTTCAACATCTTGGCAAACAACCAAGATGAATCCAGATGAAGTTATAATTTGCATTAAGTAAATTTGGTAATATACTGACTATATTCCAATTGCAATGATGCCATTTTTCATTCAACCAAGCCCCAAAAGAAACTAAACCTCACACCTACCTCTGAGTGTGCATTGTTTTCCCCCATATCTATTTCAGTATCTAATAAATTTACAGACAATCACTAAGAGGTTTCATTGACTATTATTTTGACCATTTCATTTTACCTAAATCTAGAACAAAATCTTAAATGGAAGAACAGCTTTAGCCCCGTAATCATGCCTGAATTTAGCCATCAACACCTAAATGAATGAATAACTTCTGTTTAATATGTAAGTGTAATATTGCTTAGCTGCTCTTTCAACACAACTTTACAATGTTTTTAAGCATCTAACATTTATTCACCTTCAAAACGAATTCAGATAAATACAATAGACAAATACAACAGGTTCAGAAAAATGTTGAAATACCTAACAATTGCATTGTGATTAATAACCTTCCTAGCAGTAATCAATTAAGAATTGGAGTTTTGGAAAGACTACAGTTGAAAAAGATCACCTGTTTGGAGAAATGACAATTATCAGCAAAGGTGTATGTTTAGAAGCCTTTGAAATGGGGAAACCAATACCTCCCACCCCAGCAGTGTAGATATTTTAACTTTTATAATATTTCTAATGATATCCTGCATGAAGAAAAATGAAATTTTGTTATTTGTTAGCACAAAAGTTAATTATTCAACACTAATTACTCTTATGAAGAACTAAAACAGATTGAAAGAATAAAAAATATCAAGAAAATTTGGAACCAGAAAATTTTCATTACAACTGTCTGAAAAGGACAAGAAAACAGTAAAAATTCAATTAAAAAAACCAACAAACATTGAATTTGCTTGCAACACAAACATCATGCCTGTACTTCTCAAAGACATTACTATTCACAATCACAAAAATATCATTTAAATAATTATCTTGACAAAAATTAATGATTTTATACAACATAAAATACCTTGCATTTGTAGATTTCCGGACCTTCAAAGCTGAAAGGATCCTGTTCATCTGGTGTGCATTTCATTTCATACATTTTTGTTAGGACAGTGTTTGTGAAGAAATCGTTGGGAGAGAAATAAAACTCCAAAGTAAATCCCTAAACGGAAAACCCAAATTAATTATAAATTTCTTTCATATATCTGAAATTGCATTTTTTTTTCTTTTTACCATTGGATTTGCTTCATGAATAACCACTTTTATGTCCTGCAAATGTTTTAAGATTGGTTCATCGTGTTCCTGAACCATTTCTGATAACATCTGTACATTTTTAAATATTGTTAGCCAGAAATCTGGTATACCCTTTACATCATCATTTTTCTCTCTGGGGAAAAAAGAAAAAATAAATAAACAAATAACACCCAATAATTATTGCGATTTACAGTGATATTAACTTCATAATAAAAGTAATTTCAACCTACTCTTTTTCTTCTTTTTTAACAGGTTCAGCATCTTCAATTTTCACTTTATTTTTCATATCCTCTGTCAGTTCTTCATCTTTTTCATCATCTAAATCCCACTGACATTCAGCATCTGTAGGCTCGTACTTCCCTGAGATTATTTCACCTCTCTATACAAGTTAAATAGACACAATTAGTTTAAGTACAATTCTTCCATATATTCAGTTACTACATAAGCTATGTAACTGACAAGTATTATTAACACATTGTCGACCTGGACCACAGGACACCATCCTTCCACAATTTCCAGACATTTTCTTAGAGAGTTGTAAACAACAGTCTTTGCCAGATTGAAAAGAAATCTTTAAAATATACTGCCCAATACTGTGATTTATGCATATTTACACATTTGCCAAATTAATAGCACAAAATTCATATATTATCCATGTTTTAACAAACTACTTCCCTACTTCATTTGCTCTTAAATGTTAAGTAATATTAATTCATTTGCATGGTCTTGCATTGACATTTAATGAGCTGTTTCAGTGTCAACCAGCCAGGAGCTTCAACGTCATAACTGTATCTGTTAAGCTACAGACTAGAATTGAATTGAAGCCTTATTTTACATGGCAAGACTGGCCATTAGGCCAGGTCTTCTGTCTGACCACGCAAATTTCACTTCACTCTTTTCACCCACTAGCACAGACAGGAAGTATTTCTTAGGCAAATTGACAGACGATTTGAATTTAGTTCAGAGGCGTCATTTAGGCTTTATCTTTTACATGCAGGTAAATCTGCAAACATGGGACAGCCGGCTTTACTTCCCCTCCGAAGGATTTTTGCTCCCTTAAAAATTCATGGCTTTGATTGGGTTTGAACCTGCCAACTTGAGTAAAACAGTCTGGTAAGCTAACAGTTACATCATCGCTGCGAACTAGAAGACTGTAGCAGTTGACAAACATCAAACTATTTTTAAATCTAGTATAGAATTTGTTCTAGTTCAATACACAAGTTCATAAAAATCTAACAGAAAATCAGTTTCCATCTCTGAATTCAAAATTCAGTATTTGTGTCATTCTTTTGCAACAATCTGAACCATATATATATTTGTTAACTAAAGACACCAAATAAAAAATTAAACCGTGTCTAATCGATTTACATTTTTATAACCTATCTTAAACAAGGCTAATTTAAAGGCAGTTCTTTAACCACCTTACATTTTTCATTCCATCCTTAATTTTTAAACTACGTATCTCTTGTTACAACCCATTAATGACTTCATATGGAATATAAAGTTTAAAGGTAAGAAATCAAATTTAAAATAGAAACTTTACTTACCTTCTCAAATAGCGGTGTGTAGAGTTTGTGGTATTTCATTTCTAAGAGATGAACCTCTTCATAAAATTTGGCCTCCAAGTTTGTAACTTCCAACTGAAGTTTCTTTAGAGATTTTATTCTACGTCTGGCTGATGAAGGCAATGCCTGAAAGAATTCAATGTGCAAGGGTAGTTTAAGTTCTTCAAACCAAGTTTGCATACATTTTAGAGACATTTCCTTAAAAATTTCATTACTGTTTTACATGTTCTCATACCTCTAGCATTTCGGCGTGCAGACGACCCTGTAAAGCTGCCAGAACATCAGGTCTACGAAGAACTGCTGCTGTTAAAGAATTTTCTATGCCATCTCCACCTGACACTTCTTCTTCCTCTACGTCTTCAACTTCATCTGCAACTTCACCAGCACGTTCCGGCAACGACATTTTTCTGCCCAACAGAAAGTTGAAATCGCCAACAGTCAATTACATAAAAATGACAATGGACAATTTCGTCATTTCTAAATAAATTAAAACTGAAGATTAGCATATTATAAAAATTAAGGAACAAGATCCAACCTGAAAGTAAAAACAAATAATTTAATCCTCGAAAGTAACGAACTGCGTCACCCTCTCGAAGGGTCACGGTCGAGCATCAGTTTACAAAAAAAAAGAAAGAGAAAGAATGGCCATCCAACCCTACGGCATGTAGAAATATCAAGAGAGCCACTAATTCCCAATACACTTGCTATGATCTCTATTTAACATACTAATTCCGGCTCGCCGATACGCCACAGCTGCGTAGTAACAATAGAATTGACGGACTTCTACAGTGCACATGGGAATCCATTTGCATTACGCCACCGCTTTTCGCGAATATAACGAATTTGAAGAGCACAAAATCACCCAACATTAAGCAGAAACGAAGCTCTGATCAACAAGCAACATAAAATTTATTAAATTACAACTACATGTAACTTTAAAATAAATTGTTTTATACAGTCTTTGTTCGACGTACCTTTTACCGCTCACAACTCCCGAAAAGATGGTTGAAGGTGAATTGCGGACTCGACAGTGCTCTCAACGTGCAAGAAATGAAATGGTGGAGTCGGAAGGCGGGCTGCGCTGCCAATTGGTTTGACGTTGCCGTTGGGTTGCGCAGATGAGCGAAAAGGCGAACAAGAGGACGAAAGGCCACGATTGGTCACGATCGTTGACGAACTGATGAACATAAAAGAATTTGAACATTGCTATGCAGTGTCGAATGGACTTATACCGTTGAAGATGATAAAAACATAAAGATTGTAGATAGTAAGATATAATATAAACAATTATTTGCTACGTCTAGATACAATAATATAATTTGATTGAATTTGTAGTATGATTGTTGATTGTGTATGAGTATTTAAAGACTTTACTGCTTGAACAATTCTTTTTAAAAATCTATTCGTTCCCAAATTAAAGCTGCATTGACTACTGTTTTTAAATTTAAAGAAACATTGTACTTGCTTATTTCATTGTAATATAATACTAGACCGGAAAAATTATAAAAATGAATTACTTTTTTTTAGACTGAATTATAGGAAATGTAAATTAACGTAAAATACATAAATTTTGACGCTTATTGTATGCAATATCGAATTTGATTTCTGGATAATTTAGGAAGTAATAAGGAATACTTACAATGGTGCAGTGAACACTGCCTAAAATATACATCCATAGTAGTCTGATAATAACTAAACAAGTAGGTCTGAATATAATAATAATAATAATAATAATAATAATAATAATAATAATAATAATAATAATATAATAATAATAATATTTATTGAGTCACATATACAATTACAATCGTGTATGACGAGTCAATATGATGCCTTGGGTGGAGAGAGCGAAGTTATATTACTGTTCAGGAGCAAACAAGGGGCCATCTCAGCATTTGCTCAAAGGACCAGGGAAACTGAACAAAATCTGATCGAGATGGGGTCATTGGCCTAGAAATACAATACTTGTTACAGTTAGATTAAGATATTATACAGTAGATAAATTATCTGCTAATAATTAACATTTCAATATGTTATTTTAATGCTACTACTTATACTAATTATATTAATAATAATAATTACATTAATAATACATATCAATTATGTTTGCAACTACATCAAATTTAACAATAGTAGTACATTCTATATTTATAACTTGAAATGGTGAGGAGGCAAGTTTTGACCAGTTTTTTTCTTCTTCTATTTCACAGGATGTGATATGCAGTTCTTTTTTCTTTGCTTCAGCTTGAAACAGAAAGTCTAATGGGATAAGAAATTCTTATTTATTTATATTTTTGAAGGGAAATGAAATTTGAAAATTCCTTTACACTGTAGAACATGTTGTTAAGCAGGAAAGCTTTCAATTTACTTTTAAATGTATGAATTGTGTTTATGTCTTTGATATCATTGCCTAGTTTGTTGTAAAGTGTAATGCCCTCTATTAGGGTACTTTTTTGATAAAGTGTAGTTTCAGAGCGGGGAACGTGTAGGTTATCCTTTTGACGGGTGTTGTAGTTATGTACATCAAAATTTAAAGTAAAAGTGTCTATGTTTTCCATGAGAATTTTCTTTGTGAAGACCACTATTTCAAATATGTACATGCATGGTAGAGGAAGAATACTTAGTTTATTAAACAAGGGTTTTCAAGACTCCAGCTTATGAGTGCTGGTCATTGTTCGCAGTATTCTTTTTTTGGATAATAAATGTGCGAGTGCTTTCAGGGGCATTTCCCCAGAATATTACTCCATATTTTAGGTGTGAGTGCACATTTGCAAAATACATTGTTCGAAGTGTCTCGATGTTGGAGCTTGACCTGAGGGTGTATAGGGCATAGCAAGATTTGCTGAGCTTCTTGTTACGATTTGAGATGTGAGTGTTCCATTTTAGGTTTCCTTGAATTGTTAGTAGTTGAATTTATTATTTAGGAGTCATGGAGGAAGGGGCCAAAACACAAGGAAACTGTCCAGCACACTTTAAATTCAAGGAACTTAAACAACTCTTTAGAATGACATTGTTTTAATCTAATATTACTATTTTATTTTATAGAGTGCAATTTTTTAAAATTACTAATATTTATATATTACTATTACATAAACCCATTAAGAAATATGTTATTATTTTCTTAATGGGTTTTCTGAAAAAGGAACGTAAGAAATCAAAGAAAAAATAATTGGAGAAATTGCTTATATTTTGGTATACTTTCTTGAATTATCTTTAATGATTAAGTAAAATCAGGGCTTCATTTCTGAAACTACCACCATCCATGATATGGTTGTCTAGTCTGAAAAAGGTCATTTTTTCACAGAAGAGACCTCATAAATGAGTTCGAAGCATCTTTAAAATATATACTTTTCAAACTTGATTGGAATTTATTATTTGAATGTAGCTAATCTCTTCCTTTATCACGTTGGGTTGTCAGAATTAACTGTTTTAGTGGGTCATTGACATTGAAATATTGGTTTATGGCTAAACACGATCTATAAATAACATTAGTGGCTAAAAGTAGGATTTTCACCAAGTGATATTCCCCAATCGATATGGCTGATGTCACAGCCCCTTGAAATTCAAATGGATATTTTGATTTTGAGGATACTTTACATGAAGCTTCAACGCTCAAAATTTTCTCAAAAATAGTTCCAAACTTTTCTTTAATTTTTTTCTCAAATGTGGTGAAGTAGCTTATAAAAATAGCACAGGCTGTAATTTTGTTGAACCATTTAAATTTTCAAAAATTACGAAAGTTAAACATTTTTTTGGTGTCTTCCTATAACCTCAATACTGAAGATAAGATCTTTTCTTAAGGAAATGTGTTTTACAAAATTAGATTGTTAAAGTGGGTCATGCACAACTTTTCGAAAATTAGTACTTTTGTCAGATGAATCTGGCAAACAGGAAACATTTTTTTAGGAAATGCTTATGGCATAGGGAATAGTGTTGTCTGAACACAGGGAAATATTGTAATTCAACTCTTTCTTGGTATCAGGGATCCCTAAAACTTGTATTCAAAAATCTTAACATACATTTTTTTGTCACCATTAGGCCTTACATAACTTTCACTTTAATACATATACAAGATGGTGAAAATGAGCATTAGCTTTCATGTGAACTAAACCACTCACTGAAAGACTGAAAATGTGCAAAGGCGAACCCAGCTGTTTAAATTTAAATTATGTTGGACATTTAAAAAATATATATAATCCAAGGTGAATATACAAAATAAAAGAACCATATGTAAATATAACTTTTATTTGGAAACTGGAAAGGTGCATTTTCACTTCACATAATTCAAACTGATATAAATATGTATATACACACATAAATTTTCAGAAAACTTAACAATGCTTCTTACTTGAACAATAAGGAACCATAGCTAACATAGATGTATTTCCTCTACATTTGTCAAGAGGAATTACACCAATGTCACAAGACAACCCTGCTGAAGATAAAATTGGGTAATAAAACAAAGCAATAAGAATTAGACATAAAAAACCTGCAAACAAGGTGTAAGAAATTACTTCAGGTTGGCCCTAATTCAACTAAGTACATCTGTTTCCAAACTATAGAAGACATAGCAAAAGCACAGCCATTCTTGCCTCACAGTCTATTCAACAAGAAAGCCCATTACAAACATTTTAGAGCACACCATTTTCTTTAAAATAAGACCTAATGTAATTATTTTGTAGTGGCATTTCTTGTCCCAGTGTGCAAAGTAGTATAGATTATCACATTTTAAATAATCAATTAAACCAACATATTTACTCTATACTGTAGAACAACAAATGCATATTATTTATTATTGTAGCATTCTTATTGGAATCTTCAAATTCAAACATTACAAGCCTATTCTCAAAGTCTCTTTTTTAAGACCTTAAAAAAATTCTTTAACAAATTATAGCAATGACAAATAATAAATTTATTTTGTTAAAATATTTTTTCCAACATAACTTGAATTTTAATGACTCATCACTCTCGATACGACAAAGTAAATTTTACACAATTGATAGAGTAAACTTAAGTCTCCTTTCACGTCCTGCTTGCAATTTCGTGACTAAATATCAATATTTTTTAATACTTTAGATAACCTGACCCTAAAAAAGTACCACTTTTTTTATATTTAGGTGGAGGTAGGAAAAAAACAGCTATGAAAGTAACCCAGAAACACTGAAGATCTCTTCAATTACAAAAAAGTAATCAAACAGTTTTTGTAACTCGTATTTGCAATGAAATAACAAAATTCACTATTATACATAATTTGAGAGACTTCTTTTTAAAAGTTAATAAAAACTAAAATACTAAATATTAATTTATGGGATCCAGCCCACATTTCATTAATGCCTACTTTCCATATGATTATCATTAATAATCCACATGAAAGTATTAAAAATTACATCACACTTCAAATAACTGAACAAGATATTGAATCACTACAGACATGAATTTGAAAGTTTTCAAGTCAAAAAGATTTTCAGTTATATAGGATTAGTATCTTAACATCTATCTAAAGGAATCCTGTTAAGGTCTATTCCAGACTAATATCATAACTTTCAGTCCGCTTTTTGCAAGCTCCTATGTCTTATCTTCTGAAAACCAACACTACTTTCCAAATGGACTTTACATCATCAAGAAACTTATCATCCTAAAATTATTGGTAAGGGCCCTAAAATGTAAACTTCTATTAAGAAAGAGAAGTACATCTACACATTACTGTATGTATGTTTGTTACATATATACACAAGGTTAATGTTATTCCTTAGTAAATTAATTTGGGATAAGATACATTACTTCTAAATAACCAAAAGGGCCACATTTTGAATTTTAAAAGAAATGAATATTTCTAATATTTTGCATAATAACAAAAGATTCAAAGTTGTAAGGAATTCTTGAAGATGAAAAAACAATCGACATTTGATGGTTCGTTGCATTTTGTTGTTCTACAGTAGCCACAATAATCATATGTAATCTTCAGCTACTTTCATTGAACTACAGTTTTCAGGATGACATATACATAACACCATTTTAAAAATACTAAAATGGTACATAAATTACACTAAATACCACAAATGGAATTCATGGATATTTCTCAATTTATAAAAATATACTACAGTAAAATCTACATCTGAGGAGACAATGTGTCCAAAGGATAACAGATTAATCAATGAGTTTATGTATTTACTGACTACTTGGAGTGTTGTGGTCAATGGAAGACAATACATATAAGAAACATTCATCACATACAATACAGTCACAAGCACATATTTGTTGTAACATTTAAATACAAAGGCATAAAAAAGAAGTTATATTTACAGACTTTTTAAAATGGTGTTCTTACTTATGACAAATAACTGTATCCATTCATTTCACACTTCCCACTTACTTTGTCTTTATCAGCTTTTCTCACCACACCATAATTCACATTAGTGCAATTGTTTGTAATAACTCAGGAGACAAACTTTCCCAATTAATTTGGTATAATAAGTAAATGATACTTGGGCACATCAAATCAACACATTTCTGTACCAAAATACTGTTTTATGCAATTAGGGTGTGAAAACCCTGGAAGACCTATATAAATAAAAAATTATGTAAAACACTTATATACAAACCTTTAGTTAATCACTGATACTTCAAATCAGTAAAGGAATTCTACTTCACCTTCAGATAATGATTTTAAAATAATGTGAGTAAAACCAAAACACATTTAGTTCTTGTATCGTCTCAAATATTTATCATTTTACTTTTTACAAAACAAATTAGACACAATTCCTTTCCTACAATTAATTCAAGGAAATTCACGACAAAATCATAATAATTAGCATAAATAATAAAACCTGAAACAGCAGAATAAGTGTTGTTTGAAAAGAAATGGATTTACTTTGTGAACTGATACAGCATGATATCAGTTTTGTTTAAATATGAACGAGCATTCTTTTGTAAAAGATTCTTGAGGGGCCTCACAGCACAATGACATCAGCCAAGCTAATAAACATAATGTACTGATGAAGAATGGCAACAATAATAATGTTCAATAGTATGTTGTTCCACTAACATTTTTCTACTCTCACACTTCTAATACATTTCTGATTCCTGAATATAGTTAACCAGCAGTCATTTAATGTATCCCAATCAATTCACATAGGTCATGCAAGGGTTCAAATCTCCAAAATCTTTTCGTGTTGACACAATCAGAAGTTAACTTAATATTTTGATGCAGAATGGCAACAATCATAATGTTTAATATTTTATTTGTACCACAGACAATTTTCTACTCTCAAACTCTCTAAAGCATTTCTGAACATTGTCTACCAGCAGCCATTGTATGTATCACAATCAATTCATGCCATTTGGCAAGGATTAAACTCTTCAAAAAAATGTTCATGTTGATTCAATCCGATTTCCAGAGTCAAAACCATGCCAGGAGGATCATTCTTAGATACTGACTTTATAAACCCTTATAACATCAGTTTAAGGACTCCACCACTGCTTTTCCGAGGCTACTTTCAACTTTCTTTGTAGGACTGCTTTATCTTATAAATTACTTCATCTACAACAGTTTCAAATTTAAAATAAATATCAATTTGAAAATAGAACAACAATCCATTAAAAGTATACTTCAATGTTTAAAATTCAACATCCCAAACAAACAGAAATAAAATTTATTTAGTTCAGGTCTGGAATTCACAGCTACTTATATATCTATTACAATAATTCGAAGATTTATTTTTCATGTTTTTATATTTACAAAATCTGTTTGTAGTTTGAATAACTAAATCACATTTAACTGGATCCTCAAATGAAAAAAACTCCATGAACAATATTTACTATTAATGCAAACAATCCATATTGCAACATCATTTGATCAGTGAAAACTGATAAATTTCCTTTCTTTCCCTCTCATGAAGAAATAAGTTAACATACACCTATTTCTATACTCGTTTAACCACACCAATGCTCATTTTTACACAGATCCAATTATCAAGCAATAATATCCATGTAAACAGCTGCAAGTAAAACATATTAAATTTTAGAAATTGGTGAATTTGTATACATCATTAAAAAATGAGTATGTGTGTGAGAAATTATTTTGCTGTCAAGTTCACATGACTTTTGCACAGAGAAATGATAGAATATTTCCTTTCCCTTTAAATGGAAAATAATAGTATAAGTATATGATTTCTCTTTCATTCTGCAAATATTTTCAGAGAATTTTATATTTTTTAGGCATGTAAAAATCATACAATTTTGTACAATCAATCATCTATAACATAACCAGTCACTTGACCCTAATTTAATACACACTTAATTGAATGTGATCACAACTCTCCCAAAACAAATTATGATGAATTATATTAAGAATATTATTGCAAATTACTAGTTACATATTAACCATTTTAACTTCAAAGAGTGAGTACTACAAGAGAACTGGAGGACTAATATTGCAATCAGTCTTATTCACTTTTACCATTGAAAATAATCAGCATTTAAACTACAATCATGAAGTCATACTAACACACATCTCTTACCAATAAAAAGCAAATACTCCCACAAAATTCTTCTAGGATGTGAAGAGGAAGAAGAGGAAAGAATAAAACATGGAATACAAAACTTGTTAAACTACAAAACTAAAGTGCGCCATTCTTCATAAGTTCTGATGTTTCCTGGAAATTATGAAAAGAGTGTCATGTATTTCCCTGGCTATATTGCCAACACATTCAATGTTTCATACCATTTACTAAAAAACAAGAGAAATGGAAGCCCATTCATCTGCACAATTACTGTCTTGATTTGAAAGCATAGCATTCCTTGCAGGTATTCCAATACAACTAATCTTACTCTAAGTACCACAAAGCCTCACCCATTATCTTAGCTAGTTCCTTTGTCTTACCATTATCTAACTATCTGGTGTTGCCAATAAGAACACTTTTAACTCCACATTTTATCAATAAAGATGGAGATGTTTTCAGCACTCATTTGTTCCATCTCAACAATTGCTTTCTTTTCCAACCTACCCATCTTTTCATTGATTTGTGAGAAAATGGTAACTGGAAAAAAACCACAACACAAACTAGAAAAGTAATTCCAATGTAAAAGATACACTTATTTGTATCCCAACATGAAAAGAAAACAATCTGATTTCTAATAAAATTTCCAAAACATCAGGAAGTTTTTGTCTTATGTTTTCGATTGAAGGTAGGAAAGAGTTTACGCTTCTTTCGTCGAAGGTCCTCTTCAGTAGTTGAGTTTGAATCGGTAGAATACGTTTCATCATCCAATGATACCATTTGCTCTGGTTTAGAAACAGCTTGATCTCTTGATGCTGCAATTCCCTCTCTTAACATAGGGTCACGTAGTACATGCTCCTTAGATGACCTTTCATAAGGCACAATAGCAAGCTCTCTCACTGCACGGTCTTGAGAAGCCAAGTCCCTAGGTGAAATTTCTCTAATAACATGATCTTTACCAGGTTCCCTTAATAAGTGTTCTTTAGTTGTGTGACCTCCTGGTACATGCTCTCTAGAAGACATTTCTCGAGACCCATGATCCCTTGAAGTAGATTCTCGTGATGCATGATCTTTGCCTGAAGACTCTCGAGAGCCATGATCTTTGTATGATGATTCCCTGGAACCATGATCTTTGGCCGAAGACTCACGAGAGCTATGATCTCTGGAGGATGATTCTCGAGATCCATGGTCCCTCGATGAATCTCTAAATCCGTGTTCTCTTGAGTCTTTTGATACATACTCTCTTGAACTGAAATCTCGGGATGACTTCTTCAAAGGAGTTATCCTTGGAGTTGTTTGTTGTTTACCATCTAAACATGTCTCAGATAGAGACATATTTGGTGGAGATGACTAGAAAAAAATAAATAAATAAATAAATTGAAAAAACACCAATAAAATACCAATGGATGTTTAATAAGAATCTCTTAATCTACTTTTGAATTATAATGTTAAATTATGCTTACTTCTCTTTCTCCAAGAATTAATGAAGGATCTTGACTAAAGGATCGAGACATTCGGGTTTTGCCCATTTCTTCAGACCAACTGCAAAAACAAACAAAATAACACATTCTTTGCATTATTTTAAATCTGAAATATTTACTCTACAAAAAAAATAATTCTTTGAAAAAAAAGAGGCATGATTTAACCCATGAAAATTACTATTTAATTATTATTTACTGTGAATGCTTGTTTCAAATTAAGCAACAAATAATTTACTAATTTGTTTCAGGAAAAGATCAAGTATGGCTAAATAGAACAAACTTAGATGGTTTGTTCAAATTTCAAAATTAATAGGCACCATAACAATTTGAAGAAATATTCGGACATACAGAATTATTCATGACAAAGATCTAATAATAACCAAGCTTATGGAATCTGGAAAAGCATTCTTCATTTTGCCATTATATTCTTTTGTTTCAGCAGCCATTTATGGTTAGCATTTAATGAACAATTCCAGACACACTAAGACTTGCAATTGCACTAAAAATTATCACAATCCATTCAATTTAAAGAGCCCATCATCAACCCAATGAAAAGAAATCATGTGTTAAAAACTATCAACAACAGTCAACAAGAAAAATAATAAAAACAATTTCTTTTAAATCTATTAAATAATATTCAAAATATCCCGAAGACTTGTTTAAAATAACTTCCTGCTACTACAACATTCAATTGAATATTGAAGTTCATCTTGCTTCAAAATTAGGATTCTTGGTTTCTCTGTTTTCTCCCCATTTGAATTTTAAAGGAAGATAAATACAAATCTATACAATAAATGTCATAAGAAGTAACATACAATTTCTTGCTTTAATAAATTATGACAAAATACTAAAAGTAAAGATTTTTTAATAGAAAATAAGAAATATAATATCGTAATTAAAAAGCTTTGAGATATAGCATTTACAGAAAAATGCTGAAAGTCACACTGCAAATCTGAGCAACGAACGGAAGCACATGTACATAGCAAAATAGGAGCACATAATGTTACTTTTACCTCAGAATATTAACGACACCAAGCAGTTTTTGAAAGTAAATTATTTTATTATGTTCATTTAGTCTTTTACTACAGATCATCAATAAATGTTACCAGATTATTCTTCAATATCATAAATAATTTCAAATTGTGAGTTTCTGTTCATTTTCTATATTGCTTTGTCCCCAGAGCACATTTCCAGTTTAAAGGAGTAATATAAACAATTTTACTAATACATAATAAATGCCTGTAAAAATATATTTTTCTAGTTGATAAAACCTCCCATATTACCTTATATTTATTTTCCTTTTGCTTACCTATCGCTTCCCACAATAAAATGCACATTGCTGGTTAAGCTTCTTGAGTCTGTTTGGAAATCATCATCTAATTCTCCCTTGCCAGCTTCGCTGCCTGATGAATCTGCACCTTCTTTCCATTGGAAACTCTCTAGACAACCTACACAATCCAAAGGCATCACTAACGTACTATAAGATGTAAACTAGATGCATAATGAACTTACTCTATGGATATTTGTTAGAATATTTTGTCCATAGGACCCACCTAATACATACTTCTACATTAAGGGTAACACCACCAGTAGTGGCCATTTCAAGCACAAAATTTGAATAATAAGAATTAAGAGGCTTTCCACTTGCAGAACACAGAGTTTATGCCTTTTAGCAGTGAGAATTATTACAGACAATTTATTTCTTCTCCCTTCTTTCATATATAAACAAAAAGCTTAAAACATAAATATTGCCATTGCACAATAATGTAAAAACATTTTTTTAAATAAAATAAAATACAATAAAAATAAAAACAACACAAAATTGAAAAGAATTAAATTTGAGGGAAAAAAAAGAATATTTTTACCAACTTCACGAACCTTCTGGATCAAATTGGACACAAGAAAGAAATATATTTAATGAGTGATTTTAATGGAAAAGTGGTCAGGCAATATGGAAAACATGTGTAAGGGAAATTTGGAGGAGATGCAAAGAACGGGAATGTAGAAAGACTGATAGAAATGTGCGAGCAATATGAATTGAAGATATTGAATGATTTTTTTTTTCAGCACAAAACTATTCACAAATACATCTGGTCCCAACCATCAAGGAAATTGTACTCCATAATTGATTACATCATTGGTAAACAGAGTGGAAGAATGTAGGGTATATAGAAGAGCACAGTGCAGCTTTTGACTACTTTCTGCAGTCCAAATGTCCTTTCCCCAAACAAAATGGAAAAGTAAAAGATCAAATAAGAGAGGGAGACTCTAGAAGAGAAGACACAGATAGCAAGTACAAAGTGAGTTCACTAGAAGACCTAACAATTATGTTCTTGTAGAAGTCAGTCTAAGTGGGAAGTTGCAAAATGTGGAAGAGTCCTCTCCAGATGCAATGTACAGAGATTTGACAAAATACGTAATTGTACGTAATTTGGGTGTAATTGAATGGAAGCAGCCGAGAACTGGGACATATTTGTGGAGTGACACAAGTGACTTACAACCCATGATCTAGAAGACAGAAAAACTTATAAACTAATGTACAGAGAAGTCAAAAAGGAGATAATAAAAATTAAAAATGATAGGTGGGACCTAAACTGTCAAGAAATTAGTAACACCATTAGAGACTTAAGATTACGAGATGCATGGAAAGTGTTGAAACAGTTGAGAAGAAATGAAAAGAGATATGGACATTTGCAGCTTATAAGCCTAGACAGGTGGATAAAGAATTATTATGAAGAACTTCTACAGGATCACCGTGTAGAATACCATGCTTTACACCAGCTGAAGGATATGCTTAAGATCTGTTAAGAAAGTGATAAAAAAATTTCAAAGGTGGTTAAGCTCCAGGGATCGGTGGGATAAATATAGAACTAATAAAACCAGCCCATCAGTATTGTTCAAACCACTTTCAGAATTAATTAATGAGTGCCTCAGGGGTCTTGGGATACCAGAAGTCTTTAAAGTGGGTTACATCTCCCATATATTAAAAAAAAAGGAGATGAGGGCCGCTCCAATTACCTTGGAATAACTGTCCTAAGTTCTCTCACAAAACTAAACAAGTAGTAATATTACTAAAAACAGATTGTAAAATGAAACAGAAGAATAGAGTGACTTTTGATCAGGTAGATCCTGCATAGATAATATATATACCATTCGACAAGTTATGGATATTCAGCTACCTCATAACCTTTACCGCAAGCTGCATCTAGTCTTTATTGACTTGGGAAATGAAACGACAGCGTCCCTTTTTCAAAATTTCATTTCAAAAGAAATAAAGATTAGTAAAGGGCTATGACAGGGTTTTGTATTGAATCAATTCTGTTCAAAATCTATCTAGGATAAGCTCTAAAAAATTGGAAGAAAAAATGTGAAAGAATGGGAATAAAATTAAATGCTGATTAGTTACATTCATTAAATTTTGCAGATGACCAAGCGATATTTGCAGAGGATGAAGACAATGCACTTTATATGTTACAGAAATTAAATGAGGAATATGAAAAATGGTGTTTAAAATTCTATTTCAAAAAGACAGAGTACATGGTGACAGAGGAAGAGGAATAGATTTAGTAATGAAAGATCACTCAGTTGTTAAGTATTGTCAGATGTATATGTATTTAAGAATAATTTTAACATACCAAGGGGGCAGTGAAGAGGAAATAAAACATTGCATTCGGCAAGGAAAATCTGCTATTCCAAATTTACAGACAATAACCTGGATTAAAATATTGCTAATAAAGCAAAAATTATAATTTATAAAGCAATTGTGGAAAGCATATCACTGTACGGTGATGAGTTGTGGAAGATCTCAAAAAAGAATAAGAAGTTAAAGGCTATGGAAATGGAGTTTTGGAGATGCAGCTGCAGTGTAACGTTCATGGAAAGAATCAGAAATGAAAATATAAAGCAGTAAATGGGTGTCATTTCAGATGTAATGGACACAATCAAAGGGAGAAGGTTAAAATGGTACAGGCATCTTAGAAGAATGCTGGAGGGTAGATGACCATTAAAAACTTGGGAAGTGGCAGATGCCAATGCACAGAAAGAGAGGTAGACAAAGACTTACATGGTATGATGGTGTGCGACAGACAATGAGAGATTGTCACATCAAAGAAGATGATTGGCAAGAGAGAAGATGGAAGTTTGGGTGTGAGAGATGCTGCATGGTGTGGGCCCTCTTGCAGGAGAACAAGAATAATGTAACATGAAGTAGCACATTTTTCATCACAAACATGTACAGAGGGTTGAATAGCTATGACTGAGTCAAGTATTTGATAACAACCAAAATGTTGCAATTTTCAGGAGGCCACTACTGGAACAAAATCGGGGTTTGAAAATAAATTAACAAAATATAAAATTGGCCATTTTTCTAGATTCTATTCAGAAAGAGGTATGCTAATAGCATATTGCCCATTGAGTTTCACCTGACTAATTTAGCACTAAAGTCCAAGCATTTTGAGAAAATTAAGGAAATGCTCTTCACTGTGGCCACTATTGGTACTTTTACCCTATGTAATCACAATATTTTATTGGTCCATTGAAATACTGTGACTACTTCTGAAAAGTGTAATAGGAAAGTAGGTATTCATGAATATAGTCTCTTTTTCCACAAAATTATGCTACACACCAAGGTGTATTGGCAAGAAAAAGTGAAAATGTGACACATTTGAAGTTTAATGGCATGCCACATTTCATTACCCTTGTATAACTTGTATAAGTAATTAAACACTTATAAGTTCACAAATACAGACACCAGCATAATCCTATATGTGTAATAAATAAAATTGAGAATAAAACAATCCATCTAGGAGAGAAATACTAATATTCTTTCAACTTCTCTCACTGATACAATACCATACTATGTGGTTAGGTCTGATGTAACCCACACTTAATATCACTTGCAATAGGCTTTATGAAGCCTTTGTGTGATGACATAACTCTTTCTTCACTTCAATAATTGGGCCAAAAAACAAAACCATAGTCTAAACCTTGTCCTAATAATAGTAACTTCTCTCAATGAAATCTAATCGTATTATTTTTACTAACATTTTAAAAATGAAATCATTTTCTGTCAGCTATACATATTAATATTGTATGTTTAGGACATGCTGATTTCAACAATGATTATGATGTCCATATAATACTGTAGCCTGATTTACAAAGTGAAATTTCCATACTGTGAAAATGTCAAATTTTCATGCAATTAAACAATAGCATTTGTTCAAATGACTGATCAGTTATTAAGTGTGACTTACCTGACAACTGCCATCCAGGTAAGGAATAGTCATAAATAGGAGCAAAAATAAACATTTACATTTTGAAAATTTAAGCGTATCATTTAGGTGAAGAGAATTAACTGGTCTATTGTAATAAATGCAAACTACGTGGTCTATCATAAGCTTTAGCAAACCTTGTACACTACTGCTAAATAAATTGATCCCTAGTAAGAAACTAAATTAATGCTTTTAAATTTTATTTTATTTTATCTTTTTGCCTGTCAATTCACTCCTTTTCAAAAGTATTCTTATCCTCCTGAGTATGTTGTGAAGTTGGAAGTAGAAATCCAAAATTTCATTTTCCCAACTTATATATACATTTTATTACATTTGATAGAACCCGAAGAAAGAAATATTCAGCATTTAATATTAATGGCTATTGTTATACTTAAAATAAATTATTTGCAACAATGCTTACAGATTTTTAGAAAGTCATGCTAGTTTGTTTTAGATTCTCATAATACTGTTAAAATATGTAAAATTGCTTTGAGAAACTGTCAAATGTAACACCTTGTATTAAAGTATTCTCTTAATCTATAAATTCTTTGCATATCTTGTACCACGGAATTGTGTACTAAATGGAGAGGGTAGGGTAATATCTGCACAGATGACTATTCTGCAACCAGAGAAATGCCCAGAAATGGACTATATGTGAAGTACAAGCTTCATGTAATTTAGCTTGGCATTAAAACAGAATTATGTATATTTCTCTAAAATAGCTTACTTTGACAAATTATATTTCAACCTTGGAAATGAAATTTTTCTCGTAAGAAAGGAAGTTTTCATAACTAATTTAGAAAGCTTTTCTTTTCCATCCAAACAGTGTGGAATATGCAAAAATATATTTGTATAATAAAAATTGTTAGCAAAATAACATCAAAACATTGTGTATCATCAACATTTTGCAAATTTTGTAAGTATGAAAGTAGTTTTATTTTAACGGAAAGATAAAGTGCGAAGTTAAGAAACCAGCTTTTAAAAATAACAACCAGTGGAAAATTATCACACTCAATTTAATCCTGTTCTGTGAATTTCCTAAAGTGTTTTCAAATATATAAAAATTGAATTCAATAAAAGGAAATAGAAATATATTACATGTTAGATCAATGGATAAAAAAATTAAAATGGGAGACCTAGGCAAATTCCTTCAGTATATGTACCCTACTATTATAATCATATCACACCCAAATATAATTATTTAATAATCTCCTTCTGAGTGAATAAAACATTGAGGTCAGAAAAACCCTGCTTACTCACTTCTTTGCCACATACAATTTTTTTGTATTGCCATGCAACCAATCAAATGTAAAGGTTCATTCTTCTTCATTATCGCCTTTTAGAAACAAAGCAAATTATTGGATCTTGCCACCTTTTAAAGACAGCTGCAATATTAATGGGTGTTTTAATATATGTTTTTCTACTTTTTTTTGGGGTTGGCAGCAAAAAGAAATTGAAAGAAAAAGGGATAAAAAGAAATAGAGAAAGTGCATAGAAGATAAGATGATAGAAAGAACAAGAAAAAGATACAGCATTTACTATCTTTTATTATTTGCAACCATCATTTAAAATAATAATAATAATAATAATAATAATAATAATAATAATAATAATAATAATAATAATAATAATGCATCAAAAATAAATTTTAAGAGGTTTTATTAAAAATCATAATTACACTACTTTTTTAAAGAAAAATTAAAGAGACTAAAGTTTTTTAGAAAATCTGCTTATGTTTCAACTTTCAAGTAAGAGTAGTGAACAAAAAACTTTGTAATACCGTTTGTAATTGTCTCAATTTCACTAAAAATAGTGTGAAAGTACTCGTGATTCTACGAGACTATTTAAATAATTTTGAAGGACAGATTTCATTCAGAAAAATATCTCCACCTTCAATAATGTAGTTGTAGGAGGGGATGGACAATTTTTTTAAATTTTTGCAAGTTTCCAAAATTAAGACATTTTCCTGAAAACCTATCCTTCAGCACTTTCATAAGTGCACTCTTATTGAGCAAAAACAACATGCCAAGAAAAAATTGGGAGCCATTTCTGAGAGAATTTCAAAAACGATTTAGTGGTGTAAATACCTTCAAAAATTAAAAGAACAGTTTCAAATTTGAGAGGCCACAACATCAGCTAAATTGATCAAGAAATATTTATTTTGGTGAAAATTCTATTTAGAGCTTAAGTGCTTGAGTTATTCACAGACTGACAGATGTTTTTAAAAATAAACATTTTGAATATCTGGGATCTATAAAATGTGGATTCTGATTGTAATATATGTACAAGAAAGTAATATACTATTTTTAGGAGCACTAAAAATACAGTTTTTCCTGTAACATTTGCATTACATAATATTCCTTATGCTATATAGAGGGAAAAAAAATAAAAAATAAAAATAAAAAAAATATATAAAGAGAGATTGAAAGAGTAATGAAAAAGAAATAGATGTGAAAAAGGATAAGAGAAAGAAATATCGAGACAAGGAAAGGGAAATTAAATTATCCAAATGTGTCTTGATCAATTTTCTGTCAATTATAGGTCCAATTAATTAACTAATAATTAACTCCCAGCAACTTCCAAATGTTCTTTAATAGAATCACCAATCTAAGGTTGCAGAATATTCTGATGCCTTACCTTCACAATGCTGGATTTAATGAAGAAAAATTCTACTGCACCAAGCAACTGGAGATGGGTTCTAAAGATACAGTGCGTGCACAGAAGGGTAGGAGAAAAGGGTCAAAAGCACTACAACTCTATTGGGAATTGCAAATAAAAGACAACACAGAACTCAGCACAGAAAATCCGAAAACCAAACATACATAGCCAGTACTTATTACAAATGGCAAGAATTAAAAAGATTTCAAGATTAAGAACTACTAGATGCTATTAATTTTACATAACTACATTAACATTGGCATTATTCGGAAAATCTATGCTTGCCTGTTTTGTTTAAATTGCTTGACCAATCAAATATTAATGTAATTGGTTTTCACAGTCAGTAATAGGCAACTGATCACAGACAATTCTTAGTAAAAGGACAAGCATCCTTCTTGGCCATTCCAAAATTTCTTTCTTGACTTAAGATTTAGAGTTAACATTTAATGCATATTCCTGTATGTTGATTCACATATTAATTAAATAAATCAACATTTCACAGAAACTACTGCATTATCAACATTAAATCTTCATAAAACTATAATATAAAAGAAAAACTACCAAAGGATTAGATTTCTAGCAATCATAAGTGATTATTTCTAGCACAATGTCAGTGATGCATGCATGGATGAAGAAACCAAAATAACTGAATTATACCATGTTTTAAAGACAGTAAAGTTGTGAAGAGGACAATGCAAGATTTTTCATATACAAGTGAACACTTGTGTACACTATGGGGGAGTATCCCATAACAGTTCTTATTCTATAATAATACTACCTTTAAATCATGCCAAACTTGATTACTCTTCTCTATGAAGAAAAGAATCAATAAGTACAATAAATCACACCTTTTCTCAACAAAAAAACTTAATACACTTGTTTCTATAATATTCACTCTGTTACAAATTTAATTCTGGCATGATTCTGTAGAATAAAAGAACCATTAATGCTAGTCTTGTAGTACATGATAATTATGTTTATGTTATTATAAAAATGTTTTACGTACTAGAAATATTTAAATTAATTTAACACAATCAGTATGAACACTCCACTATCCGTACCATTTAAGTACAAAAATAAATATCAATATTCAAAAAATTACTGAATCAAAAATAAAGACGTGTACAAGCAACATAATCTGCTTCTGGGGTTAATTTATTCTCTCTTTAGTTTTTGTTTTCACTAATAAGGTAAGTTGTTTATTCACAGCTATAGTTAGGAATTTCTTGACCTTATTTGTAACTACATATTCGTATGTACAATAATTAAATATATACAAAGTATATACAAGTGCATTCTAATGCACAAATTTATCTATTCATTTATATTTTGTTTTATTCGAAAGGAAGATATAGTTCAGAATTTCAATTAGAAAATATTTCTTCTCAGTAATATGTTTGATGAACACAAAAAAATCAAGAAGAGATTTAATTCATTTCACTCCTCCAATTAATTAATTAGAACGTTTCCTGAAATTTTATTATTAATGAGGTAAAATAAAATACATTATAATAGGAAAATTGACAACTATGAACTCTGATTTAATTCTAAAATTAAATTCTCGAAATTCTTGTTGAATGTGTTGTTTTACATAACTTTCATAAATAATTTATTGTAGTTCAAAAACATAACAAAACCAGAAGTGCTCTTAAAAACATACTGGAATTACTTTCAACAATTCTAAATCTTTAAATTGCTATTGTTGTATTACTATCAATACAATGGAAAACAGCGAAACACAGTCCTTTTTGAGTGACAAAATTATAACATGAAATTACTATACAATTTTACAAAAATAATTTCTGACAAAAAAAGGTTTCCATTTATTTTAGAAACAGTACCAAGCTACACAACTCACAAAAAAAAAGTCTCAACTTTTCTCAACAGATAGTTATAGGCGTTAATCCAGGCACGGATCCACAGGGAGGGAAATCCCCAACCCCACACAAATTTGTTCCCTCTTTCCAGAAACAATTAATTTTAAGTTATCACTTTCAAGCAATAAAATTTTCTGACAATCATTAAAATAAATAAAATTTTATCACTACATGAGCCGAATTTACCCTGCTTCATTCTGTACAATGTGTAAAATGACACCTTCAATATAAAAACTATTAATTTGCCGATCACACTCGACTCACAGTTGAACATTTATAACCCTAGGATGGGGAAATACAATAACACTCATGATTGCCTTCTCAAGAAGAAAGAGAAGCCATAGGTTCATATCTTGTAGCCAACAACCGCCCTTAATAACGTAACTCAGCTGCACTGTATTCGTTTATAATTTTTTTAAATAAGATCATAAATTATTGAGTGCGAACAGGTACACTCTGTGCCATGTGTTATCAAGACAGAATGCCAACTGCATCTAGTTTTGAATGCAATAAAATTTACTGAATAGGGATAATCCCATCTTATTTAATCTGGGAAACTAATATTTGAATTTGAACAAGAGACTAATTTCCTTTCCAGAAAGCCTAGAATCTCTTAATGTTGAAATGTCTGTTTTTTGGAGCTCTGAAAAACCTATTATACCCGTTATTTACTCTGATAAACATGATTGGAGCATATTTATCAGTGAAAACAAAATTTCTCGTAGCCCTGCATACATATATTGTGAACTAAGTTTCCTAAATAATAATTCTAATTTTAAATTCTATAAATTTCTTCTTTTTACCTTTTTTTTTAATATACCATGATAGAAATAATGTCTGAGAAGGTTGAAGTCTGATATAATCATTTGTTTTAAAAAATTGTCGAAAATATATTGAAAAATGTTTGACACATTATGATATTCCACTATTGAAATGTACTGATTTCAAAAGTGTTTCAATTTCGATTACTATATACTTATTTAATAAAAATCTGTCCCAACTAAATAAAGGTAATTCAATTTTTATTAAAAAATATTGTTCGTACATATATGATTCAAAGGATATTTCAATACTTTCTATTGTATGTATGTACTTTGGCACAACAGCTATTTTACGATCTAAGATCTACCAGCAGCATCCTGGTCTTGCAATATTTTTTATTATTTTATAAAAAAAAATTTTCTTCAAACCTGTCATTGCTTAAAAAATGAGTCAATTTATTAAAATTTATTAAAAGCATTTACATATATAAATATAATTCAAAATGATACATTTAAAAATCCCCTCCCCCTCCCCAATTTGTCTCTGGATCCGCCCCTGGTTAATCCACATGAATTATTTAATATTTTACATTAAATTATAAGAAACATGAATATTGGAGACTTCTTTTACATAAAGATGTGATGAAAATTTATAGTACTTCATTGTCCATGGAGTCATCATCCAGAAAAAACTTACCCGCTGACGGAGAGTAGAGAGAACTAGTATCATCATCTAAGTCATCTTGACTGCTGCTCATCCGTCCTATTTTAACAAAATGACATTAATTTACAATAATAAGCAACTGCATTGCAATAGATTAATTATTATTAATTCTAAAAAAAAAAAATTTAAACTGAATTGCATTAAAAAATTCACCATTTCTTGTGAATGTGGCCCACTTAAAAAATATAATTAAATGGTGTTACTTCTTATAACAAGTCATTCAGAAATTAAATTATGAACTCCCCAAGAAGAAATTTAATCCATGACGAACAGAAATATGAAAGAAACAAAAGCTTTTGAGTCAATGAAACCAAGAGTATTGATCATATTGCAACAAAGATACAGAAACACAATACTTTTTGCTACTAAGAAAATATGGTTTGCTTTGAACTTTCCACAAATCAATTTGTTTTTTGTTTTTTTTTTTAACAAAATCTAAATTAACTGGAATGTTTTGTAAGTGTCTAGATTCAAAACACATTAACAATGATAATTATCTGCATTTCATTACTTTTTGTCAAAGATCCATAAACATACAATACAAAATTACAAATTTTAAAGGTATGTTTGTCTTTGTGTGTGAGTGTGAATGAGAGTGCGTGTGAGCGAGAGTGCGTGTGAGCGAGAGTGCGTGTGAGCGAGAGTGCGTGTGAGTGAGTGAATGTGTGTGTCTCCTTCCCTCACCCACCCTCTTTCCTCTTTCATATATGTGAGCACAGATGGGTATTCATATCAACAATTTTCACGTTCTAGTTCAAAATAAATAAATAAATAAATTTAAAAAAAGAAGCAACACCCCACCACCTAATATGCCTATAAAATGTGTATTACTTTGCTGTTCAGTTTACTCTGTCCTCTCTCCACAATGCCCAACACAGAGAATAGTGAAGTTTCAAGAAGAATGATCCAAAATCATTAAAAATGTGATGAAATGTAACCAATGTCTCTGGCTACTTTTCAGTACGTGGTTTAACCAATAGTGAAACCATCTGAGCATTAAACATTGTACCTCAAAATGTAATTATTGATTAATTGTCCATGGCAGCTAAACATACCTCTGAGTCCCATGCTGCTTCCACCCCTTCCATTGGCAGTTCCTCTGTACAGAACACTTTCCAAATACTGTAGACCACTATTGTTAATAATGTTAAAACCACAAAGTAATTCTATCTGCTTCCACCGATGTACTCTTTCCTGAAGTTCTTGAGTAACTTCATTTAAAGATGTCCTTTGTGAATGGAGAAGAAATGTAAGTACATATTTATGAAAAGAGGGAAAACATTATGCAAAGCAAGAAACCATTTCATTAAATTTGAGAAGCAATTGTTAAAATGAACGAAATGCCAGCTTAGAAGTAGTAAAAGTTAATTTATCATTAAGCTTCAAATAAATGGTATTATTAATGAAAACACTATATATTTTTAATTACTAAAATTTAAAATGTTAATTAATTTAAAGTAATAATTGGAGTTATATCATAGTAAAAAGGAATAATAAATTCTATCCCGTATGTCGTATGAAATACAAAATTGATTACAAAGAATTGGAATGGAATTGTTTCATGAAAGCTTCTTGATAATGATAATTTTAACTAGTGGTGCAACAGAATGGCAAAGACTTTCTCATACTAGTTATTTTCCCATAGCTTAGGTCTGGGTTAGCCGTTCAGTATTGCCCCACCCTCTTGCTTGCTGTCATCTTTCATCACAAAATTTTCTTAATGTTTTGTTTTCCTAATGATAGAAATGAAATATTAATTTAAAAGTATTAAAGAAGAGTAAACCCCCATCCTATGTGGAAATTTTCATTGAAAAATTCAGAGATATTTTAAGAAAATGTCGTTTAGGTATTAATGTAAATGATAAATTTGAAGCTCTTTTACACAGAAAAATTTTGAATTTTCGAGAAACTTCATTGGGAGTCATTTGAAGCACATCTACTCACAAACGCAATAAAGTACACAAATCGATTGAATGTGCATATTAAGGGAGTGAAAGATATTTTTAAAAAAATTACAAATGTGTAATTTTGAAAAACCAAAAGAATATAGCAAAATAACCTTTGTGTCATCTGCAACAGTGCATTTTAGTATAATCTGTACAAAAAGGTTAAAAAAAATAGAGCAGTCTTTGAGAAAATGGAATTTTAGTGTTTGTGAAATTTGAGCTCTTTTTCACAGAAAAGTTTTGAGTTTTTGAGAAACTGAAAATGACATCATTTGATGCATAATGTACTCATAAATGTAATAATGTGAACAAGTCGGCACTAATGTGAATATTAACAACATGAGAGAGAACATTTTTTGTAATTAAAAATAACAAAGAGGAGGGCAAAATGGCATTTTTGTCATCTGATGTAGTACATTTAGCACTTTTCCTATAAAAATTTTTAAAAAAAACTTCAAGGAGTTTTTAAGACAATTTTGAACATGTCTTGGCGGTTTCACGTGAAGTATGCGAAAATTTTTAAGGAAGTTTTTTCAAAATGGAACAAATGAACAAATTGGACAAATGTTTTGAGAAGAAGGAGACGAAGAAAAGACGAAGAAGAGAAGAAGAAGAAGAAGAAGAAGAAGAAGAGAAGAAAAAGAAAAGAAGAAAAGAAGAAAAAGAACACACACAAACAGACACACACACACACAGACACACACACACACACAGACACACACACACAGACACACACACACAGACACACACACAGAGAGACACACACACACAGACACACACACACACAGACACACACACACACAGACACACACACACACACACACACACACACACACACACACACAGACACAGACACAGACACACACACACACACACACACAATTATTTTGAAAGATCTTTCACGCCATTGGTGTGTGAAAAAGTGCTTTAAAAATCGAATTTTTATAGTGCTTTTGAAGAAAATTGCCATTGAGGACAAGGTTTTAATATTCTTTTATATTCTTAAAATAATATTTCCTTTCTATATTAGGAAACCAAAAAATTAAGAAAATGTCAAAAGTATACTTTGGGCGGCGATAGATGGCAGCAGGCAAGAGTATTTGAGAAGTTTGAATAGCTAGCCAAAACCAAAGGAAATAGAAAACTAATACAGGAAAGTCTGTGCAATTCTGTAGCGGCACTAGTTGTTTCTTAATTGAGCAACTGGATTTTTCCTTACCAGGGCCTGGCAAAAAATTTTTATCTGCCAAAAATCCCTAGATTTTTGCGCAGCATTACATAACTTTCCCTATACTACATATATTACTCTGTATATACATACATAAATGGGAAAGTAAAAAGATACTATTTATTACAGTAACATAATCACAATGTACACAAATGTTAAATAATTACCTTGCTTCAACAATACTTCGGTCAACATCATCAATAGATTTTCCATGAGTTGATACAAATGCTCCCACTAAACTTGATCTCTTCTTCCTCAATTTTTCACACTGCAAATAAATAAATACAAGGTCATAAATAGAAGAACATTAGATACTCACAACTAATAATCCAGATTAGAAAAAGTGTCACATACAGCTTCCCGTGCTTGCTGGAGTTGCTTTTCAGCTGCCATTTTCTTTTTAATGTATCCTTTGTTTTCTATTTCATGTGTTAATTGTAACCACTGTTGAAGGCCAACAGGAGGAGACCAGCATCTATCTTCAAGTTCTCCTTCAGCTCTCTTCAATTCACCACGAAGCATCTGCAAGGGAGTATTATTTGTGCACCATTAATCAAAGTCTCGCTATCTCATTCAAGCATCTTTTGTGAATAAAAAGTCCTTGAGATATTTTGTTTGTATAATTTAATATCAATTGTTTATACATTTTATTCTTACTCTTATTTTTGCCTCAGAGAGATCAGAGTCGGTTTAAAGTTCTCTGTGACCTGAGGCACTAAACACATAACCCCTCATCAGTGGTAAATCCTAAGGGTGCCACAATGGGCCCCATACCTTTTTCTGAAAGTGCACATTATTTTCATACTAATAATTTAAAAAATTACTTTCTGAAAAATATTTAGGTGGGTCAGAATCCCACCTTTCTGAAATATATTTGGATATCTGCTAGATAACCTGGTGCTGTGGACCCAGTAGTGCTCCTCATGTTTTTTTATCAAAATTACACATTGGGTAAAAGACAGAAAGAGAGAAAATGATATAGAGCAAATAATGAAGACTATGCCTCAATTTTTCTGTAGAGATCATTGACATGAGGTCATTGCAACACCTCCTACCATATAAAATGAAACTTTTTAACAGTGATAAGTATATTTTTGAGGCCACAAGCCCTGTTGAGGACGTTCACCAATTAATTAAAAATATTCATTTTATAAGGCAGGAGATGTAACAATGACCTAATGTCATAGGCAATACAGAAATATCAAAGTATAAATTCAAGTAAGCAAATTTGGTAATAAAGGAGAAAAATATTACTAGACTTTCTGTGTAAACTATTGTTCATAATTTGCATAGATATAATAATATTATAATATAGATCTGCTTTTAAAACCATAACTTATAAGAATATAATATGTATTATGTATATGATGCTTTAGTTTATACATTTTGTATGATAAGAATTCATAGTTTTGAGAAACACAAATTTGAAAGTTTTGTAAAGTTGCATTTAGAACTGAGCATTATATCCATCAAATAGTTGGAATCCACAGACAATTTATTTCTGACTGAATTTCTACAATAATTTTATCTTCAAAACGAAGATAGTAATTCTAATACATTTATCAGTCGTTTAGATTTGCTATATTTGGCACAGATTGGCACATATCCATGTTTTAGTGCACAAACATTGTATGTTTAACAGAGAAATACAAAATTTGGCTTACATTATTTGTATACTAATGATTGTCACCAGATTTTTAAAGATTGTATCCTGGAAAAGTCCTTCTACTGGAACATATAATATTTACACTATATAGATGATCAATGAGAGACTTTCAAAAATGCACTAACTCAAAAATAGCCATGAATAGATATTCAATGTTTCTGCACTAAGACATTGATATAAACTATCAGGAAGCATGTACCTGAAGTTATATGTTTCAGATAAATCATTAATGCAATTTAGCAGCTGCAAAATGATCTGTGATACGTGAATTGTTAATTCTTACTAATAAGTACAAATGCTGTATCATCTTTAATAAGCATAAATGCATAATACATTGCAGCAGTCATGAAGTTTTTTAAGAATTATAATTCTTTAATTTTATTTTTATTATTAAATTTTTAAACAAATTTTCAAGATTTAAAATTATTTTACATGGTTGTAATTTTCATAAGATTAACAGATCTTGTTAACAAAAACGTTAAATGCAAACTGATAATGCATCCTGTCTCTATTGGCTTCACTTCACTTTTTCTTCACATAAACATTCTAAATTAATTTTACTTACCTTCAAAGTATTTAAAATTTACTCACACCACCATTTTACTACAACTCAACTTCACGAATCTTTACTGAATTGAAAAACGTTTCACAACTCAGTGGAGTATTAATTCTACAATCTTATTTTGAATCTAAAGGGTTTTTTGAAAACCATTTTTTTTCATTTTCATGTGAACTTATCAACTCCAAGACACTGCAGACTTTAGAAAACTATCATGATTAAAAACATAAACTGTAGGGATCTATGTTTATTGTTATGAATCATATAATGAGTAAAGAACTCTATTTAAACTATATAATCTACATTTTTTTAATATTCATTTTTGTGAACTACAAAAGCATGAGGCCCAGGGTATGTGCTACATGTGCCTCTATGATAAAATGATCCAGAGACACAGATTGTTTATAAATCAACCTCTTGTTTTCCGTTTCATATTAAACATTTAATACATTACAACAATGGCTTATTTCACAAACATTGAATGTCCACTCATGGTCACTTTGAGTTAATTTCAGTTTCAGACCTCTCATTCATACCTACTGAGTGTACTAAGATGAAATATCCACTTAAGATGGAGCATGGTTTTTGCCAGAAAGCAAACATTGTCGCTTCACAAGTTTGCACTTTTACAAACTTTCAAGCTTGGTTTTCTCAAAACCAGGAATTCTTGATATAAATTAATAATAATACATTTGCACTAAGCCCTAATTACCAACGGTCTGAGTTTTTGACGTCTGGATTATTGATGGTCTACTGTACAATAGTGATAGGGTAGATATTTAAATAAAATACGCAACTACACATTACTTGTTGCAAAAGAAACTGAAATAAATTATTAGTACATACTTCTATTTCTGCTTTGAGTTGGGACACTTCAAGATCAGAAGATGATGTTCTCAGTTCCATATTATCTCCTCCTTGCTCCAGAAGCCTCTCAAGATTCTGTTTTTCAGTTGTGACAAATTCTTGCTCCATTCTTGCTTTTTCCAATTCTTTCTGAATTGCAATTCACAAAACATATGCAAAGATAGTTATTAAAAAGAAATAATTTAAAACCTCACATTAATAACAACTAATAATGTACCAGCATTTATCAAATATATTTCATTACTAATGACATTCAACAGCAAAAACAAATTAGAAAAAGAAATAAGTGTTTTCAAATTACAAAGTAAGAAGCTACTTGACACTTGCAAATGATGTGGTAAGCAATTTAATCAAATTGTAATATGAATATAATTTGTTTTAATTCATTTGAGGTTAAATAAAAATACAGCATTGAAGATAACTCACAAATAAGTATATTTTGTAGTATATCAAGACACACGAATTAAAAACTGACATAATTCCCTCAACAACTTGTATAAATTTTTATGCAAATTTTGTATAATAAAACAAGTTACCACCAGAAGGATTTAAAAGAATAAGATATTTACAATAAAACTCGTCCACATACTTACTACATATTTGGCTAAATATTTTTATAAGACATAGTAAATAGGTCTTAAATTTTAAGACACGACTGATAGTATTTCAAAAAATTTGTCAGTCTTGTGTACTAAATGTAATTAAATTATACTCTATAAACAATTATGAAGTTTAAGACAAAATGTCAATTAAATGTTTTCTTAGTTCTTAAGACAAATATGTGTGTGTGTGTGTGTGTAAGTGTGGGGGGGAGAGAGAGAGAGAATCAAATGTTATGATTTGAATTATGAAATCAATTTTTGAGGCAACAAATTCTAAGAAAAATTAGGAAGTACAGATGTTTATTATTTCTATGGGAACATAACAAAACAATTTCCTTTTGATGATGGAAAAAAAAAGATTGGTTTCTAGACTACTGAACAGTTATAAACTTCCTTAATTCTGCATCTAAAAATTTCAGGAGTTACAGTTCAAATGATTCAGTAAATTTAAAAAAGAAAATGTTTTAAATGAAAGATCATAACTATTATTATTATTATTATTATTATTATTATTATTATTATTATTATTATTATTATTATTATTACTACTACTATTATTATTATTACTATCATCATCCTTATCTTTATTGTATATTCATATATTCCATCCTTGAATATTTAGAATTGAAGTCATTACACAACTTATAGAAAGCTTAAAACAGCTTAAATTAACTAATGCAAGTACGAAAATTTCAAAATATATTCCCAAGAATAATAATAAAGAACAAGAAGATTGATTACTAGTGATTCCGGTCGTGTCAACTGCTATGGCTAGTGGCCCGTAAGTTTAGTGCATGTTTTGTTGCTCGGGAGGTGGCTGTGATCTCACACTATTGTATGGCGAGATCCGGGGCCTACCTACCAACGGCTAGCGGGGTTTTCCCTAACTGGGTATATCCCACCAGCGGGGCACCGCTCCAGCCAGAACAAACTCTAAGCTCTGACCGGTCTCCCGGCATGTGTGGCAGACTAGTGCATGTAAGTGAGTAAGGAATATGAAGGAATGGGAAGGAAAGATCGCGTGCGGTCCTTTGCCCTTTTGGTAGGGTACTGCTCCGGCATTCGCTTTGTATTGATAGGAGAAACCACGGAAAACTACCAATCACAGCAGCCGACCGCTAGAATTCTCTTCCACACAGCGACAGAACAAGCTATGTGGCTAGTGTCGAAAATCCAAGAAGAGGAAGAAAAAGAAATCTTGTAGGAATTTAAAATTCAAACTTTCCTTTTTTAATTTATCAATTTGTTATATTTTGCGCACTCAAAATCTAAATTTACAGAGAAATATCTTCATTTACCAATATTTTGTATTAAAACACACAATGAATTCTTCACATTTGCAGTAGTGCAATAGAGAAATAGTTACAAGAAATTATCTTGTCAATGCAAATGTGTATACAATTTTGTGTATCTTTGGGTGTTAAGAAAATTGCATAATGTTTACTAAATGGGGTAAGGGTACATGTTCATGAACCCAAACCTTAATTCACAACTACACATCGGATATTTACGAAAGTGTCTATTTAAACTTTTAACAAAGAGATTTGAAATTTATTACAAATACATTCCATGAGTTTTCAACATTACAGGAACCACATTTACATTGCCTAAATGCCTGTTTGTTAATTATTTTTTCGCTCGGAAAATCAAGTAGACTATTTACCAACACATTTTCCTAGTAAAGTCATCTTAGGGAGAGAGAAAATTCTCTCACATCTCACGCAATTTCAGCGTTTCTTATCACCGATGCAGGAGATAGATTTTTTTTTCATCCGGGTGAATGCTGAAACTTAGCCTCCTCCGAAAATATTAAAACCGCGAAAATTGAATCAAGAAACAAAATACAAGTTATTTTATTTCAAGAAGACAAAAATACAATTAATTAGATCGCTGGTGAGGTAGGTTCCTTCTAATAATTAAATATGGTAAATTACAATGTTTAAGCTAGAAAAGGTTTTGGGAATGTATTTTTAATAATAGTTTTACGTAATAATACAATTTCCACAGTGAGCTTTAAGCACAAAAAAGTTGTGTTTAGTTAGTGTTTAATACATAAGTATGTTAAGTACATAAAATAATTAATATGAATTTCAGTAGAACCTATTTTAATGTTAGCGTCATTTGTTTCATTTCATAGAGCCCTACATTGTAAGTAATAACTATAATTAACTATTTAAGGTAAACTAGTGGTGCTAAAACTGCACAAACTTTCTCGTCCGTATTTTCAAGCAAAATTGCGCGAAAAAGTACACGAATTAACAACCAATTGCGCGAATACCAACGATGCAAGATGCGTATTTTAGCCGTAAATAAAACTATTAGTTTATATTAATGTAATAACTAAAGTATAGATTACATTAATGCGAAAGAAAAGACAATAGTCGTCATGGCCTTCTGTTATCAGTGTGGCGTTACAATGGGCCACAAGCAACAATGACCTCTAATTCCTATGGGATACACATTTTGACAACTAACATTGTTGATAAAGATAGCAAGAAAATGAAAATAGAAAAAATATAATTAAATATAATATTTTTATATGCATCAATACTCAGTTTTTGCGTGCATTACTTTTTATTCCCACATCTTATTAGGAAAAGGGAAATCATTTATTCCTTTTCACATTGAACTCAATTATAGAACGTAATTTTTAAATAGGTTTTAAATAATTTCTAAAAGATTAAATTTAAAACTTATAGAAGAAGAAGAAACGAACAATGAAATATGAAATAATATACAAATTCTAACTTACGTAGCATCCAACTGCATAGCATCAGTATTCATTTTACGTTCATGAAGCGCAGTAAATTGAAGCGGTCAACTACTCGTACTTTTGTCGCCAAATTACTCACAAAATATTTAACGTGACCTTATTTGAAGATCTGTTCTTAATGAACACATTTCATTAAGAAAAATAATGATTGCAAGTTCATTATGTATGATCATAACTGTAGTTACAGGAAGACGCCGAAAAAAAAATTTTTTTTCAATTTTCGAAAAATTAGTGTTGTTAACTAACATGAAACTTACACAAAACACAAATGTCATTTACACTATCCACCACCAACTTTTATCAAAAACAATAGCCTTTTTGAGAAAAGAAAACTGTTAAAACAAAAATGAAAAATTGCCCATATTTCAAACAAAATTACGCGAAAAATGCTCAAACGTCCAAAAAATGGAACATGATCTTATTTTAAAATCTATCTTTAAGGAACAGATTTTATTAAGAAAAAATATCTATCTTATTTTAGTGGTAGGAAGACACCGACATTTTTTTGAAATTTTTGAAATTCTCGAAACATTTGAGTTTTCAACCAACATTAGACTTGCGCCATTTTCTTAAACGTCTTTCAGACTATCTAACAACAAAATTTAATCAAAATCGATGGCGCCATTTTTTTGAACATTTTGAAAATGTCCCAGGTGCTTCATATAAAGTATCCGCAAAATTAAAATATCGGTTTCAAATTTAAGGGGCCGCGACATCAGCAAGACTGATGACGGAATATCAATTGTGGAGAAAATCGGCTGAACAATTTAGTCGATAGCGTTGTTCACTAACATGTTTTGCTATCAATTGATTTCTCGGACCCACAAAACAGGGATTCTGGCAACACCACATGTTAGAGGATTTTTTCCTAAATTTGGCAGTGAATATCAACATTATCGTTACCACGGCCCTGTAATTAGTTTTTTGCCGAAAATTCTCAGTTTTTTTCGCGCAGCATTACATAACTTTCTCTTAAGAAGTTCTTTCGCGCGAGAAAGTAAAAATTAATTAAATATCTTATGAAATAATAGATTACTGTACAGCGGCTAATAAAATTACGATAAGGATTTTTTTCGAGTTCAATTCAGTTCCATCATTGACATGAGGGCCCCGGGCGATCCGCCTATCTGCCCGTGTCAGGCGCCGTCTGAGCTTATCGCTTTTTTAGCAATTGACAGAGTTGAGATGCCACACAATTTATGAGCCATTCGAACAATTTAAATCTGACATGAGTATTGTCATATTTAAAAAAATTAATGAATGGTAATTCTGAAGACAACACAATCAGTCACTGACAATTTTCTTTAAAATTATGCACCAAACGCAAGTGTAGAAGTAGAAAGAACATTTTCTGCTGGTAACTAAAATGTTTATTAATAATTCAGGACACAGATTCAAGCACTATAATTTAGAAAGAGGGTTATAGTAGTAAATAGTGAGACAAATCACAAGAAATAAGTTTGTTATGAAGGCTTTAGAGATAAGTTATCTCACTGTATCTTCGTATTCTCCGCTTGCTAGTCATATTTTACCATTTATATCTTAAAAAAGCATACTAATGTATCTGCAATAAAGTAGTTGGAAATAAAAAAAAAATCTGAAAAGTAATTTTATTCTCAATGTATAGTGCCTGTTAAAGAAAATGTAACAACTATTTGCGCCTTTGAAAAGCCTATTTTAGGTCCCTAACTGCGATTTTGGAGCCTAAAACCAAAAGTGCATTCATAACGAGTGGTGATGTTTGTGCGGGCTTA